GCGGTTGCGGAACCATTTGCGTTGCTGCGCACATCGCCGCTCGTTCCGCTCCCGCTCTTCTTCCTCCGAAGAAATGTTGCCGCCATCTATGAGCGACGGCAGCAACCAGTTGTCTGGTTGCCGAGGCTGGAAAGGTTGCCACGATCTATGAGCGACGGCGGCAAGCAGACAAACGGCAAACACAACACTCTGGACAGCTACCGCCATCTATGAACGACGACGGCAACCAGAGTGTTGTGTCGACCAAGGGTGTCGACATTTGTTTGGTACCGGACACGATCCTGGGGAAACTAACCCTTAAAGGGGTAGGGAAACGAAATTTCAGCGCTCATTTTCTGGCTTTAATGTGTTGCATGTTGCACCCTAACCTCAAAAACATCAGTCTTCCGTTGAAAAGCACAAGAAAACTATTTTTAAAGCTAAATAAACGATCTTCAATGTGCACCTGGTGGATGCATGCGGAGCCTATTTGGGAGGTAGTCTAGCAACGTTGTGGAATCTGCTACGTAGTCGTGACGTAGCAGATTCCTTCGGAGCAGCGCCGCTCTTTGGCATTTTAACATTTTCCTTCTTAGCTTTCCTCCTCAACTCACAAGTCGCGCATTGTACCAAACGGTCCAAGAAGACGGAAAGGAAGGACTCCCCTCTTTCTCGGACCCTCGTTCGTGCAACTGGACACAGCCCCACCTCGTTCAGCCCTAAGCTGACAGTGTTGTGGAAGCTACGTGCTCCTTGGGCCAGCCACACGCTCGTCACCCCACGGGCACTTCGAGCGGCTCGGTTGTAATGCGCTGACGCTATTGACAGCATCACAACGCTGACAACGCCACCAAGGGCAAAGCTCATAACCACGTCTGCCTTGCTACTCCACGAACGCGGGAAATCTTTTCTTTCTGTTTTTGTTTGCGCCGGATATCCCATGATGCGTCGCGCTCTCCGTTCCTTTCTCTTCGAGCGCTTGCTCGAGTGCACCGTTTGGAACGAAAAATATGGCCAATCGTTCAAAATACAAACGTGCGATTATCATTAACGGTTATTATCCGTCATGCTTGACTCATTTCCGAACGAAATCTGAATATTTCAATTTTTGTTTCCGTACCCCTTTAACAGCTCCGCTGTAAAAAAGAAACTGCGGGTTTTGTTTTTTGCGTTATTCCGGGCGACGTTTCGCGAGCGTGTTTGGACCGACCTTTAGCGTCCTATCCGCCAATGCGTCAGAAGTGGCGCGGAACTGCCCACAAATGACGTCACAAAAGTCGGGGTGTCATGCTGTCGGATGTCGGGATCCTGACGGTTGATCGTAGAAATACTGGCGAAAAGCACGAGCGAATGTGGGTATCACCGTCGTCGTGGCGTCGCAACCATGGCTGCCGCAGCTTCCGCGGACTGCCAAGCTGTAGAGCGACATGCAGCAGAACAAGCGTCTATCACATTCACCACCGCTGCTCTAGTTGACGCCGCCGGGATCGCGGACAGCGATAGCATGGCACTTTTATAACGTCATCAAGCGGAACTCGAGGGACCACATTTTTGGACGCGGTAAACACCCCAGTCGGAGAAGCGTTCCGGGCACCATAGCCATACCAAGGCCATACTCAACTGCTCAGTGCTCACAACGATGCATATGAATGAATCTCAACGAGAATGGGTGGCATGTAGCGGTGTCGTAGCGGTTGTCCTCTGCAACAGGAGGTAGCTTGCGCGCACTCCTTTTCCTTTCGCCGCCAACTCCGTATTCGCAGAGAAGCGGTCCTGTGCGTTGAGCTGTATCCAGACTTCATGCGGGAAAGCGACCTCGCATACCCCGTGTAATGAGAGGAGCATGTTTCTCGCTCTGCGTTTTCTAAATATACATTCTACACTAAAGTCGAACAGGCTGGAAGGTTCCTTGACCATTGAACATTATGTGCAGCCACTGGGTGCAGTATAATTGCGTTGTTTTATAATGCGAGCGGTGCTTTAAAACACGTTTCCAAAAGTATGGGAAGCAGACGACACGAAGGACCAGACAACAACGCGCAGCGTTGTTGTCTGGTCCTTCGTGTCGTCTGCTTCCCATACGGCTTGCGAAAGGACGACGTTTTCGTCGGCTACTAAGTTCTACCGAAGGCATGCAGAGAAACAGGAGACAAGTGACGGGACGACAGCACACGCGCGTAGTGTCCCCGACTATGCTCCGCATACCGTCACGCCATCCACTCCTTCGGGTCTCCTGCAGAAGCGGCGGTCGCTTCCCGCAGTGCTGCCTTGGATCCAACATGGCCGCCCTTGGAGCACCCATTGCGATACTCTACTTTAGCGCCATCCCTAGCCTACAATTGTAACGACACTCTCCTTTCAACTGCTGGACCAAATTCCCTTACATCCAGATTGATCCTGCTCCAAAATTATAGCCAGGATGACCTTTGGGAGTTGAAGTAAACAATAAATAAGAATAAATGAACGAGTCCCCTCGTGTGCAGGCTGCGCACGTACACGTACTTGGTGATGTTGCACGCCCACCGTATCCCGTTAGCCCTTAGTAAAGGCAGTGCATGGTTCTCAAAGACAGGGGGAGAGTTCGTGAAAGCGTTCTAAGGGTCCGCCAAGCCCTGCCTCATCAGTCAAAACAGACAATTATATATATATATATATATATCAGGGTGTCGAACCGGAACCGAACCGGTATTTTTTTCCGGAACTGAACCCGAACCCGAACCGTTATATTGTTATCGCGATGAACCCGAACCGGAACTGAACCGGAAAAAAAAATAACGGTTACCGGCTCATGTCAAAACGGTTCGGCCACGCGCTGTTGACAATGAATGTGCTATCAATGCCATTTGTTTTTTAAGTGCCGTCAACTGACACACACCTCGCTTACATATTTTTCTTCTCCACTCAGTCTTAGGAATATAAACGCTGCATCCATGAATCTTGACATAGGAACCAGTATTGCGCTGGTGGCGGCTTGCACGGAAGAAAAAAAAAAATTGGAAAACTGTGCAAAAAAAAAAAAAAAAAAAAAAAATCGCGTCACGGGATTACATTTTCCTACAATCTCGTAAATCCTAAATGCTGCTGTGTGCTCATTTCATAACACGTTTCTAGAACGCGCGAGTTCTTGAAGCTTGCTTCCATCGGAATGAGAAAAGAAAAGGCTGTGGAGTTTGATAATAATGCATCCGGTTTCGTATAGGCACTTAGAAGCTAGCATATTTGTGAGACAGCGAACTCTTCTATTTTAATATTTATCCTATTACGTCCTTCTGGCGTTGCGTTCGTTGAAGTGTTTTTCATATTCTGTATCGGGTCTAATTTGAGTTACCGAAGGCTAGTTCAAATAAAGAAAGCTGTATTTTCTCCCCACTGTTCCTTCAATTGCTTAAACGCCGAGGTGGCGGGATAGTTAGCGAGTTCTACTTGTAAGTGGGTTTGTAAGGAGGTCGCGGATTTTACAGCTACTGCGTCGGACCCAATTAGATGAAGTCCGAATACGTAAACGTCGGTGAGGTAACCTTTGAGTGCACATAAAGAAACCATTCCTGGTAGAAATCCCTGAGCCTTACACTACGATGTATCCCGTTTCGTATGTGCTGATTTCAGATGTTTTATTTGTAATTTATTTTGATGTTGCAATTTGTCATTTATAATTTTTATAATAATTTATATCAGCGCCCCGAACCGGTTCGCGGATAGAATTAATCGAACCGGAACTGAACCGGAACAAAATAAATTTACCTGAACCTGAACCGTAACCGAACCCGTATTTTTTTCGGTTCGACACACTGATATATATATATATATATATAACTGAGAAGGAAAAAACCCTTAGTGAATACAGCAACAACGGACGATTTAATCTTCGACGTTTCGGCCGGAGTCCGACCTTCGTCAGGAGCTTCCTGACGAAGGCCGGACTCCGGCCGAAACGTCGAAGATTAAATCGTCCGTTGTTGCTGTATTCACTAAGGTTTTTTTTTGTTTTGTTTTGTTTTTTTGTCTGATATATACTTACCCCTTCGTTCTCCCGTCACCATGCCCGTTGTATATATATATATATATATATATATATATATATATATATATATATATATATATATATATATATATATATATATATATATGTGTGTGTGTGTGTGTTTTAGGCTTTTGCTTTAGAACAATTACTGCTGCAGACGCCGGCACGTGCGGCGCGTGGAACACCATTCCCAGCATTCTCCTTGATGCTTGGGCGATTTAGAAATAGGGTCTATTCAGTAGATTAGTTATCAGTAGGCACCATTTTCAAGATCAGTGATTATCATGTAGCAATAAAGGTTTCTCTAAGACTTGCCGCTGTCCGACCCGCGTCGGCCATGTCTACGCTCGCACCGCCCTCCTTTTGTCGTCATTCCAAGCCCACTTGCGTGCCTAGTTTCCTTTCCTTCTGCTTTCCCGGGGTGGCGGTCCCGTCGCGCGTGACTAGTTTCCTCCGGCTCCTCGGAGCGGCGATAGTCCACGCGAAATAACGATGAAACAAGTCTACTTCACACTAGCCCCTAGTTTTATACATTAAATCATTATCCTAATTAACCTATACGTCACCCTTCAACCCACCACGAACGGGGTCCTCCATGTCTCCGCCGACCCACAGGTGGTCCACAGGATGATCCCTTGTCTTCTCTAAACATGACCTCGCACAAGACATTGCGGTCCTATTCCTTTACGTAATGGCCGCATTTTTCACCTTTCCAAATGTACGGCCAGCGTTTTAAAATGCAACATGCTGTCCAATATTTCACTCCAAAGAATTTGCTGCTTTACCCTCCCCAGCCTATTATGTAGATTCTTTTTCTGCATCAAGATTAACTCTTGTGCCAAAGTCAAGTGTGAGCCTCCTACCTCCGACAGTGCTTCAGCACCTCCAAAATGCATGCTGGAAGCCAGGCATTCAAAAGACACACCCTGCTGTTCTCACTCTGTCGGCAACCGCACCCCCGACCAGTCGGGCATTCCACGGTCGAAATGAAACAGCCATCTATTAACGTACCTAATTTTATTCCATCGGTAGACATGAAATGTGTACAGTATGTACAATGCAGACGCCACACAACCAAGTGGCGGCTCTAGGGGGATGAATGTACAAAACAGACAAAATTCGGCCACCATTTTTTTTCATTTCTTACGGCTTTCATCGCAGAAAAAGAGGACAATGTTTTCGAGATGACAAAACCCACGGTCGCACGGGGTTCCCTACGCCTCCCCAAAATCGCCTTCGTTATCGACCCCTCGATTCCTGCATCGCAGCACCACTTCTTCCTTATGCCCTCGGCCTCCCGCGCCCCCGCACCCGTCGTGTCTAGCTTTGGATATCAGCACAACCGGTGGCAGTGAACATTCCACGCATTCATGTCGCTGTCCTCGCCGACCTTTCCTCCCTCCCCATATCTCCCCCTTAAAAAATTGCGAGTCATCGCGACGACAGGGAGGTGGGGTTTTAGGGCAACGTGGAATGTGATCCCGATTTATTTCATATGCAAACGATTTCTCTTTTTACGTCTATCGCCGGAGGACGGGGGCCAAAAAAAAAAAAAATGACCGGGTCTACCCGCACGCCAGACGACAGGCACACCGAATTCCAGCCCTTAAGCACACACGCACTCATGTACAGCCCTCGTTAAAAAAAAAAGAAGAAAACAATGAAAAATAATACGCCACGATCTGGGGAGGAGGAACGGGTGACTTGGGAAAATATGTCTGCCTGGAAAACTAAGTAATAAATAACCTCGGGTGGCACCGTGCCACCCCATTGTAAAAAATGTCTCCGAAAGGGGGTGGGGGGGGGAAAGGGGTCACGATAAACAGACACATCCATGATGTGGGGAAAGTAAAAAAAGGGAGGGAAAAAAAAAGTCCAAAAGCACTCAAATGCACCGCACGGGCCGCCTCCCGAAAAATGCGCCGCGTGTGACCACCGGCTCCGCTTCATTGGGGAACGGGAAGGAATGCGGGAAAGAGACAAGAAAGGGGGGAAGGCAGCACTCGCTTTTCTTTCTTAACTTAACCGGTGACACGATTCAGACTTCCTTTGCTGAGCCGAGACAAAGGCTGACCTTCTCGCCAGCCGTGGCCTCCACGCGCGCACAAACCGCTTCTTAAAATTAGACGAAAAAGAAATTTACAACGATAATAATAATAATATAATAATAATAATAGTAGTAATAATACAGAGCGAGGCGGCGGGGGAGCGGATGAATTTACAGTGGAGATGAGGGGCGGCCGCAGCGCACGGCGGAGACGTCCATCCTCCGGAGAAGGCTGCCGCCCGCAGAGAAAGAGAGAGGGTCCGATGATCCATAAAAAGGGGAGCACGAAAAAACCGATGCAGGAGTTGAACTGTACAGTGTCCGGTGGGGGAACGGGGGACGACGACCCCCGGCTAGTGTCCCAGTCTTCGGCGTTGGCACAACGTCCCCCACACCCGGCGATGGAAACACCCCCCCCCGCTATGTACACCACGGAGCAGCGCTGCTACAAGTTCTCCACGAACTTGTTGAGCTGCTCCTGAGGGGTGAGGAGTTCCGAACCGTCCGAGCCTTGCGGGGGTGCCAGCTGCTGCGGGGTGAGGTCGGGCCCCGGGCTGGGGCCACCGGGGGGAGCCAGCCCGCCCTGGGGCAGCATCAGGTCGCCCCCGGGGGGGGCCCTCGACCAGACCGCCGCCCAGGTGGGGCGAGTGCGTCTGGCTCGGGTAGTGAGGCGAAGGGATGGGCTGCTGCCGTGGCGACGGGATGGGGCGGGGGGAGGGTTGGGGGGAGCGCACCAATTGGCCCGGGGGGGGCGACCGCACCTGCTGCATCAGCTGCTGGGGGCTCAGGGGGCTCTGCTTGAGCGGGGGTGCGAAGGGCGGGTAGCCGTCGCTGCCGGGCCCCGTGGGGCCCCCCTGGTAGAAGTGCCGCGCGGGGGGACGCTGGTAGGCGCCTCCGGGCCCCGCGCCCCCCTGCTGCTGCTGCTGCTGTTGCTGCTGAAACTGCTGCTGCCGCTGCATCATGAGCAGCTGCTGCTGCTTCTGCAGCCACTGCTGTTGCTGGAGCTGTTGCTGCTGCTGCTGAGGCTGCTGCATCGGCTGCGGGGGTCCGCCCAGCATCAGCTGCTGTTGCTGCTGTTGTTGTTGCTGCTGCTGTTGCTGCTGCTGTTGCTGGTGCTGCTGCTGCTGATGCTGGCTCCTCTGCTTGATGAAGGCCGCCATGAGCTGGGGGTTCGACTTGAGGATGTGCAGCACCTGCTGCTGCTGCTGGGGCGACGCGGGGGACTTGAGCGTCTGGATGAGCTGCTGCAGGGCAGGCGTCATCTGGCTGGGCCGCTGGGGCCCGCCCACGTTGGGGGGCCCCATCTGGGCCCCGGGGGGCACCATCTGGCCGGGGGGTGGGCCCTGTTGCCGGATGGGGGGCCCCACCCCGAGGCCCTGCTGTGGGGGCTGTCCGTAGGGCGGGCTCTCCCAGCGCATCGGCATCATGCGGGGACCTGCGGGGGCCAGGGGCTTCTGCAGGGGGGGAGCCCCCTTGCCGTAGCCCCCCGGCGGGGCCAGGTGGGGAGCCTGCTGGCGCGCCGCCGCTGCCTGTACCTGCACGGCAGTGGGGCCAGCGGACAGACCGGTGAGCACGGGGACTGACCGCCTGTACTTCGTCCAATCCTACACTGGTATTGCAGTGGGTGTCTCCCCCTTTCACCACCTGCCAATCTTTAAGCATAAACCGAAGCATGATCACTGCTGAAAGATCGATGTATGACTGGTCCGAGTGTCTTGCTGGTTTGCACCGAACTGCCAGCTTGGGGTTGGAGCACAGCTAATGGCAAAACAACCAGAAACACAAACTCAGGAAAGAAAGCGCACAATGCACTAAGACCAGGACGGATAAAAAAAAGACTTCATATAATGAGAAGTATGAAATTTATTCTAGGAGTGATGCATGCTTATTTCCTGCACATATCTTCATCTCTTTATATAGAACCACAAAGGGCTACATAAAACATTGCTACAATCACACAGCATGTTAACATGTTAGCAGCATGTTGCAGGTAAATCACATAGCGTGTTAACTACAGCCTTCCAGCTTTTAGGAATGTGCACGATTCCTGTCAGGTTTCCCCTTAGGCTCTAACTGTGATTGAGCTGAATTGTGGCGCAAGACTGGCCAAGAAAAGAAGGATGCCCGAACTGACAGTGCGGTTAAAAATTTCCGGACTTCAGTTCCTAAATTCAATGCATCCCTTAATAAAAAACAAAAGACAGAAAACCCAATATTACGATGATGCAGTGCTTTGGCCTACCCTCCACATATCCTAAGCTTCAATAAGTGCCATCCAAAGGCTCGCTGAATTTTTATGGCCTGCCATTTAAATATAAAGACCGTCCATGTTTTCCCCCCCAATAACACCCAAAAACCTCCACGCATCATGTCTGGCAGCTGCAGTCACAAACTGCCACATGGTAGGATGCACTCCACGTGTCAATCTCTACCTCAAAACGGCCAATTTTGGCCGGAACCCCTTCAGCCGGCACGAAACAGAAAACCGTGGATCGCCAGACGCACCTGTTGCACGGCCTGCAGCGCTCCCACGGGCGGACCCGCTGGCTTGGCCCCGGCCCCCGGCTGCATGGGCCCACCGCCCCCCGCGAGGGGCGCCGGCGCCGGTGGCAGCGACGGGGGCGGCTGCGCCTGCGGCGGGGCCGCCCCGCCCCGGCTCTGCATGGTCGCCATGCTCGCAATGCGCCGCTGCAGTATCTGCGCCTGCTGGAGCCTCTGCTGGAGCTGCTGCTGCCTCAGCTTGTGCTTGATGTTCAGGCAGAAGGGCACCGGGCACTTGGCCTCCTGGCAGTGCTTGGCGTGGTAGCAGCACAGCGCGATGAGCTGCTTGCAGATGGGACAGCCGCCGTTGGTCTTGCGCTTGCAGCTCTTGGAGTGCTGCACGACGCGCTTCATGCGCCGGCAGCTGGGCAGGCGGCAGTTGGCATCGCGGCACTGGCAGGCGTGCACCAGCGAGTGGATGCAGCGCTGGATGGACAGCCGCTGGGACTCCTGCGGGTTGCTCTGCTTGGGGTCCGACTGGGACGTCCCGTCGTCCAGGTCCAGGCCCAGCTTCTCCATCTTGTGGGGGTGTCCCTCCCGCTCGTGGCAGGCCACGCACAGGTCGAAGTCGTCGCAGACGGTGCAGTGGAAGCGCGTCTCCACGTGGCTCTTGCAGGTGTTGCAGGTGTACACGAAGCGGTCCTGGCCCTGGTTGTGCAGCTCGTACAGCATGGCCATGGTGGAGAACTTGGCTCGGCGTAGGGAGGAGAACTCGTAGTGCTTCTCCCGGGCCAGGGTGAGGAAGGCGTCCCGGCCGTCCATCAAATCACACTGCATCAGCAGGTCCGGGTCGTGGATTGCCGGCAGGCTCACCGCCGCTTGTGCAGAGTGCAGCCGGATCACGAAGAACACCTGCGAGGGAGGAATTGGGACGCCGCCCGTGTCAACGGCGCCGTGGCGTGCCAAACAATGCTGCCATTATTTTCGCCCGAGCTTTATAGTACCTTTTTACAAAGTGGCTGTTTACCTGGCAGCCCGTAGCACAAACGGCGTTTTTGCGTAATTCATACTTTTTGTTCTCGCAACCACGTTGAGCGCGCTTCTTTCCGTGCACCGGTGCATTGCAGAGAGGCAACACCAGCGGAGCTTGCTGCCGCAGGTGTTGCTTCTCTGCAGTGCACCAGAGCTCAGTGAGAAGTGCGCTCAGCGAAACTCACGCAGGGCACGATGAGCTATGAAAACGGGCACCACGCGGAAATTTTTATAGCGAATTGCACAGACGCTGTGACGTGGCGGCATGGCATATAGGTCCACGTCACAGCGTCCGCGCAAGTTACTATGCAAACTGCCGCAAGGTGCCCGTTTTCCTTGCCCATGCGTCCCCTGATTGATAGTCCACATCAGACAACTTCTTGGCCCGACGAACAAACTTAATTTCGGTTTGAATTGTCATGTGCTGCTTTAAACAGCCCACTATAAACAACATTTTTGAGAGATAAATAAACTTACGTCGTACATTTCACAAACGTTTCGTGTTTGGCATACCTGCTTATGATCGTACGCCTATGCGGACGAAATCATCTAATATCCGTTTTGTATCTGTAGCCATTCTTATGGCAAATCATAATTTTATCTTGCATCATATTTAAATGAATTTCTGATTATTCAAACAAAATTTGTCGCTTCTCGAAGTTTGAAAAAGAGTCTACTGCATTGTAGTTTCTGGGCAAACAAGTGTTATACACCATTTCACCCTACAATGAACAGCGACGGACACTACAAGTCACCCCAGTCAATTCGGTGCTGCAGACGTATCACGCGACAATTCGCCTAGGGGCGTCGCTGCACCCCTCCCAAAAGTCAAGGACACCCACACGGCACTGGATACGCTCCGACCATTCGTAGCGTCCTCCGCCATCCATCATGAAGTAAAACTAAGTATAGATGAAGTTCGGCACCCTAACGCACACATTTCGGAGTCTTAAACTCAACAGCCCTAGGGGGAAAAAAAGACCTAACCTGCCATGCACTTCTGCGGCTTGTGCACTTTAGAAACCTTCGGGTCAACTACATCTACTTGAGAGCAAGAAATAATGATAATGAACGTGTACCATAAAATCCCGAGATTCCCCCGCCTCCGAAAGATAACCTGCCCCCTATTCTAGGCTTGATCCATTATTTTCTTTTAAATGCCGAAAGATAGCCCACTCCTAGTAATCATAGTGTTCAAACCAATGATGACCGTGGCATAAAAGCGTCTAGTTAGCTATGGCGGGATATAAGAGAACGTTGCTGACTTGGAAGTACAGTCATCTCTGCTTCATTGCCCCTCACAGCGATAACAAGGCTGAAAGACGTATAATGTAAAAATAGCATATTTTTAACTTTTCTCGATTGTGCACCGAAAGCTAGCCAGCTCTTTATTTTCACCCGATTTTCACTCAAATTAAGGTGGGCTATCTCTCGGGATTTTACGAATCCCGCGGGTCAACTAGAGTAAGAAGAAACCCTGCCTCCAGGCTCAGCAGGCGGGAAGTGCGGCACCCACCTCTTTGTGCTTCTCCATGGTGGAGTATATCTTGGCCGAGAGGTCGTTGCCCGTGTGGGGCACAGAGGACTTCTTGTTGTTCTTGCGCTGGTTGCTCTTGCTCTTGTTAGCCTTCTTGTTGCGCCCACTCTTCTGGCCCTTCTTCTCGCCCAGCTGAAACGGTGACGAGACAGGGTCAGATCGGGTCAAACAATCGCCGGCCGCTAAGAGACACCCGCGGACGACAATGATATTGAAGAAAATCTGGTTTGGTACGCTCCAAATCCATGGAAGTCCAGAGGGAGGAAACCAAACTTTCCAAAAAGTGAACTTCCAACAAGCCCTCTACATTACCGTGGCAGGAACTCACAAGAGTGAGGTCAGTTTTTCTCAGATTCCTACACCTAGAAGGAATTTCAGAAAAACTAACTAAATACCTATAAAGGCACACCTCCACCATCCTTTACCATGTCTATATCCTCATAGTGTCATCCCTTTCACGCTATACTCCGTTCAGCGGACGGTGTGGGGGGGCTATGCACCTACTGGACCAATCGATTGCCTCCCTTTCCTCATCTGATCCTCGTTCACTGCGCGTGGGTATGAACGGGAGCGTGACGGCGTGCCGAAAGATATCAACGTACGACTGGCCCAACGAGCACGTAGCTTCCACTGCACTGTGAGCTTAGAAGCAAACGGAGTATAGTGGTTTGTCTGTATTCTTCCGACTCTTGCCTAATGCGTTCAATGCCCCTGTCCCAGCACAACACATTATAACCGCCAGTATATCGGCTTCCCTCCTCCACTTTCCGGCATCATCCAGACTAACGGTCAGAGGTCAAAAGGGAATGACGATCACGGCGACTTGGATTAGACTGGATTGTGCTAAACAATTGCAGGCAAATTTCTAAAAAAAGGGAAGAGCAGTTTTGCGTGAAACTACAGTACCGTAACGGTAACAGCTGCGGCACGTCGCGGCGAAGTCGTCGGACGTAGGCATCGCATTCACTAACCGTGAGGTCTCGACAGCAGCGTGGCTCCTGGCTTCATTCTCACGAGCCCGCACTCCTTGCGACAGACGGCACTGGCGCTGCCATCGCGTCTCACAGAGACGCCAAAAGACGCTTTGCACTGTAATTCCCGTCAAGCTTCGGCGCGTTCGCTGCTCGGGGCGCTTTGGGGGTCCAACGACAACGACATAATGCGCAGGCTCTGTTTTCCAGGAGGTGTTCGATGGATGGAAACGGCCGAAGCCTTTTACTCGGGCGGCAACGTGGGCCACTTAGCTGAAACCTTTTTCATTTCTACAATTAACTCCGATTAAATTTTAAATTAATTAAGAATGGTAAATAATCGTTTTTATCGCGACGTCGCAGCAACCGTGGCTTTCTGGCGAGCGCTATGCGAGACTCGTAAGCACACGTGTGTTCGTCAAATAGCTTTTATAAAGCAGATCGCCCCACGGCGTAGCTTCGAGGTAAGACGCCCGCTTCGCACGCGCAGCACACCCAGGATCGAACCCCGAGTACACTGCGACGGCGGGTGTTCTCTTTTGAGTGTCTGTCGATATCGACGACGGATGCCCTACTACATTGACACCGGTCGTCATTTCCAGTGGTGGGAAGAACCCGTAACAGCTACCGCTGTAAAAAAGTAATACATAAAGCCTAAGTACAATTGCCGTGGCACCCTCCCTCTTGAGTCTTCCCCACCGGTCCCCTGACCTGTTTTGTGATTTGCGCTCAATTGAAACAGTGTCGGCCGCCCACCTCAGTGCCCTCAGGCTCTCCGTCCTGGGAGCCCTCGGAGGCGGCGGCGGAGGCGGCCAGGGCTTCGGCCGCCTTGCGCTTCTCCTCCTCCTCCTGGTCCAGCTCCTTGATGCTCTCCTCCAGCACGTTGGGCCAGAAGTCCCCCTCGAAGTAGGGCAGCTCCGAGGCGCTCGTCAGGTTGTCCTCCGTGGCCTGTTTCAGAATGTCCTGCAGAAGAAACGCACGCTCGTCTCACGGAGTCCTCCTTTTCCAGAGATCCCTGGCGGCCCTACGAAGCCCTCCCTTCCGAGAGGTCTCTCTGCCGGTCTTACAGTCTTCCGTACAACAGACCTCTGCCAGTCTCGCAGGGTCTCCGGTTTAAGACCTCTGGCGAGCCCATGGAACAGGCACGCGACGGGTCGGCCATCCCCAAAACTTTCCACCTCCTCTCCTTCCAGTTTTTATACTCGCAGCTCGCCTCAAAGCTGCACAACACCCCTCAAAACAACGCGCACGAAAGAAAATCGGTTCAATAATTAAGGCAATTACTGCGACGGTCGTACGCCGAGCCAGCTGCCAAAAATATAGCGCACTCCCCGACCACCAGGACGTTCCGCATGTGTCGGCCATGGGCACAAATGTTGCAAAAACGCTGTCAGAACATAGCAATGACGACGTAACGTATTGAATTCCTTATGCGATAAGCGTAGGAATGGAGTCCTAACGCACCTCCTTTTACCGGCGAGCTCGACATGAACAGACTCGAAAATCTTTTTTCATTTTTGTGTACATACTTTCCTAGCACCATTATTCTATCCGCATCTGGGGCCCTAAACTCATCAGACACAAAGTTGGAGTCGAAAGTTTCCGGAGCGTGCCGCTTGGACCCTGCCGACAAAGGTGCAAAGTCATCGTCGTGATAGCCCAATCGGTGCGCCCCATGAACTTCGACCCCAACTTTGTGCTTTGACGAGTTTAGAGCCCCTGGCTTGCAACTATTACTTCTAGGACAATGCGTCGCCAAATGTCCCGACATTGCCACCTTCGCGGATATATCGTGCTCTTGCCCATACGTTGCAGCATCTGCCTGTTTGCCGAAAATACACGCGTGCGCATGTCGTCCGTGTCGTATGGCTAACGTGCGCACGCATGCATGCCGCAAGTGTCGCAACATAACCTACAAGGTGTCCCCCTAAAATGATTTATAGGTTTTTACATAGAGTTATTATAATGTACGCTAGAGGTTCAACTGGCGGTAGTGTCTAAGCGACTTCCGGGAGGCAAATTGAAGCGGACAGCAACCAGTCTACTTTTGCAGTGCTCCTGTGCATTCCTTAGGGAAACCGCGCGTGAATTTTGTCTCTTCACTGGAAAATGACACGAATAACTTTTCTTATTTTAGTAGTACCGGATAATATGCACCTTTATTAATATTGTGAAAGTGTAATTGCTTTAGTCACAGCATTTTTCTTTACCACTGAACGATGTTAAACTTCGCTATATTTCAGGCCCAAACCTATGTTCCATGGCAGGTATGTAAAAATGAGCGACGATTCTAAGCAAAATAACAATCGAAAGGAATGTAGAGTGCGTTCAAGGTTCGCTAGCATTACGATGGCGCTTATATATTGCTAATATGCCCGTCCTGTCACCCTACGAAAATGACTCCGTCGTGCATCTTTATGACCTGTTAAAAAATAAAGTATGTGGGCTACGAAAGGTGTCGTTTTATTATTTCCTATGTCAGGCAGTTTTATTCGGGCACCTGTTCTCTAGCTTCTCCCTATTTGCAAAGGTCTGGAGCGTGGGGGTGATGATTTGAACCCAGAACATGCACCTTCGCGCATATTTGGGAGCAGTAAGAATAAAGCAGTACTTATTTATTGCAAATCTGACTATATTACGTGGCTTTCAATTTATTTTTGATTGTCTGCACGCACAAGGAGTTACTTATCCAGTGTAATTGCGTAGTTCTTGCCGTCTCTTGGTTTTCCACATGTCCTTCGTTCGTTTGGCACGTATATCCCCCATGCTGGAAGGCGCCGACGCAGTGCTCGCGCTAACAGTGTCCGACAGTGCACATAAATACACGTACGAAGCGGTTTTAGCGCCGTTTTTCGTGCCACGAATTTCAAGTAAAAACGCTGTAACTGACCAATTATTTTGTCTGCGTGACTAAGAAATGTTCCAAGCTACCTAGAGCGCACGAATTGTTCGTGATATTTGCTGTTATAATCGAGCGCAGAGAAAAAAACACACTCGCTTTTTCCCATAGAAATGCATTACTGGAAGTCAATTTCGGACTGGTTGCTGTCTGCTTCAATTTCCAGCAGCACACTAGCGCCAGTTGAACCTCTAGCGTACATTATAATAACTCTATGGGTTTTTACCGCATAAATAAATTATGCATCAGCGAACATTCATTCTCCGCCCAAACATAGCCCTATCCAAACCAGATGCCAAAATTTCATAATTGTTATTTAAAATTTGTAAACGATTTTTCGACATTTTCCAGGAAAAAAATCTGGTCTATTTTTGCCCGTTTTCGGTAAGTGGTACCATGAAGCTTAGTGAATTATAGAAGGCCCATTGGCAGCCATTTACCCATTAAAAATTTCAGAGAATCGCTCATAACTTTTGAATAAGATAAACGGTTGGTTCCAAAAATTTGACACCTGGTTCGTGGTTCGGACCTTTACCGCTACATTTCGGGCTGGCAATGAGCATTCGGTGGTGCATAGTTTATTTTTGCGGTGGACAAAACACTGTACTGTTTTGGTTTTGTTTTTTTTTTTGGGGGGGGGGGGGGGGGGGGGGGGGGACATTTCTTGGCATGTTTTTCGTTGCATGCGTCACCCATTCCATTTTCACTCCCCTCTTCCTGGTCCTTATTCTCGGATGCTTTCAGTATCCTCGCACATGCACCCGGGAAAATAACTCCACCTCGGACAAGACCACCTCTCGTTTAAGATCTCCATCGTAAGCCATGAAGGTTGCAGATCCTGGAAGCACTGTTTTATACATGAGGCACAAGACTGAGTCATTGAATAGACTCATACCCAACGTAATACTCCAAGATAGCCCACCCAAAATCGAAGGCCAATTGGGTGAAAACAAAAAATAAACTAACTTTCAATGCGCAATAAAAAAAAAAAGACAAAAAAATGCTTGTTTTAGATTTTGTGACCTGCAAAGGCTTGTTGTGATCGCAGGGGTCCTTCCCAATCAGCAATGTTTGCTTATCACCCGCCGTGGCTAAGTAACGCCAATTGTGCCAAGATAAGATCACCGTTGGCCGGGGCCCTGCAATTACTGGTTTCTACTATTGGCCTACGGAGCGCGCCGGTGACGAAAACGTGGGGCCCACCTTGTACTCTAGCACGATCCTCTCGATGATGCCCTTGTCCAGCATCATCCTGTACCAGTCCTGTAGCCGTTTGGGCTTTGGGATCTTCTGCTCCGGAGGGTGGCAGTGAAAAATGTAGTCGTCCCCTTCGCTCGGTGGGCACGCCCAAATGTGCGCCATTGCGAAACTGCACAGACAAACACGCAAGGAGAGAAGCAGACATGAAACACCCGGAAGGCGGCATTTCGACGTGCGAAAATGAAGGAATATGTTTGTGTCCAAATGCGAGAATAAGACGGTTCCTCAAGCATGCACCAAAGACACGAGGTGAAGGGGTTCGCGCAGAATCCCAACAGCCCCGGAAATCCTAGCTTGGCGAGGGTCCGAGGCTCAAAATACAGAAGAACCGAATAGGAGTGTTTCGTGACAACGGTCAACGAAAGGTTCTTTTTAGTTCTTTTTTGAGACGCAAAATGCTACTGCCATTGGCCCTTGCAAAAATTATAAAAATCGGCTCACAATACTAAAAATTGCCTGGATTAGACTTTCCATCAAATGCACCGAAGGTGCAACTGCACCTAATCATTTTTTTTTAATGAGCAGCATTTGTTATTGAACTAATATGCAATGTGGCAAAAGAATTGCAAATGTATGAAGGACCTCATCCATGCACCTCTCCTAAGGGGGCATCGCATTATTTTCTTTGATATGCTGTTCCATATAAAATACTACTAAAATACCTCCATGAATATTATATTATTCAGCAAATACACAGCATCTATGATGCCATGCACGGGGGAAGTTAGCGCATTGCTTGTCTTCCCTCCCTCCCTCCCTCCCTCCTTCTCCTCCTTCAGCTTGCGCAACAAACTATTGGTCCAGCACGCTACGACATCGAACGAACAGCCACACTCCACCACCAACGTCCTCTCTCATGGCACTGCTACACCGTGAGCAACACAAACTAGCGAGGTGCGCGGAAGATTCCCACATAAAGACACTGCCGCGAGAGGTGCTCACCCAAGCTGCTTGACATAGTCGAGGTATCCAAGGAGAATCTCGTGATAGACAGCCGTGCGGTACTGCTTAGGTCGGAAGAAGTGGACGCTGTCCAGGTAGGCGATGTAGACCCGGCGGGTGTTGGGCGGATGGCAGTCCGACCCATACTCTTGCACATGCATCCCGAAGAAGCACGTGTCCGTCCCGTCGATCTCTTCAAAGGCAAACAGTGCCTTCGCCCGGTAGGGGAACTGGCCGGGCCAGTGGCCCGTGTCCACGTATCTGCGAGAGGAAAGGCGTCGGGTTCTAAAGAGGCGGCTTGTCGACAAAACATTCAAAGGGGCAGCTAGTGCTCTGGCACGACGCAGGCACGGCGTAGCAATCTTTTAATAATATTGCGGGCCTATTTATGGGCAGGTTGATCGGCGCTGTATTACAGATCGCTGTTGAGTTGTCTGCGAGTGAGAACAGTTTCGTGCACAAGCGCTCACTTTCGGCGATAATTACGCGGTGCTCCGGGATATGGCCCGCCGCCAGTGAGTGCTCCCGTGACTTTATTAAAAGACTGCAAAGTTGCAATTCCAAAAGTGAAAGCGAGCATGGAAAAGGAAAAGCCACTTTTCTCGCGTGTAAAATTACTTCGCAACGCTTTATCCCATTCCCCCATTTGAGGGAGCATGTAGAGCAGCTTCGAAAAGACCATTTCAGAAAAAAAGCGTTGAACGGATAGCCTTCAGAGAACGGACAATGGACAATTTTGCAAGGCATTAGACAGTGTAAGGTCGGCCTTTCTTTGAGGTACAGCAACACTAGTTTGCACCGTAGATGTGAAATTTAGCCAGTGCAGTACGACTGCTAGCCTGGGGTCTTTGAAGGGGTAGTGAAACGAAATTCTAGCACCTACTTTTATGTCTAAATATCAACCACGTTCTGGCCACACCACAGATGCCAATTCTTTGCTCGAAAAGACGACAAAACATTATTTAAAACGAACAAATCGAAATCTCATTACGTCAAACTACACATAAAAGCAGCGTGTGTACGCGAGCCCTGTTCAACTCCAGGAGATGGTCACTTGGCGAAAAACTCGGTGAAATTTTTGAAGGCCGCGATTGGCCAGCGGCTAGGTCAAGTGTGACGCTGGCCAATCGCAACGGTAAGAAATCTCGCCAAGTGTCCAGCTTAGGGCCTCACAGAGAGCGGGCATCCTGAACGGCCATGTTGCAACGCACTGACGCTACAAAATGGCGAAGCTCGCAACCACGTCAACTTTTTTGCAGCTTTGCCCGTGACGGTAAACCTGACGTCACAACGTTGGACATTGGATTGGGCGACTCACCTGTTCTTCATGCCGGGCTTCACCTCCACCAGTTTGTCGGTGCAGGCTACCACCCGGATGCTCACTTCCCCGGCTCCAGCGTCCTTCTTCTTCAAATAGCAGTTCACTCGGTTCTCTATGAAGTTACCCAACTTGCATGAGGGTAACCCTGCAAGAGGAGAGACATTTGTCACGTCAGTCAATCGGGGTCCGTTTAGCTGCGCACACACCCGTGCCCACCCCACAGTCAACGACAGGATCAAAATGGCAGGCTGTCTCTTTCGCATGCCCGGCCTCTGGCGAGTGCTCGTTGTCTCTGGCCGTATGTGCACGCCAGAAGTTAACGAGACGCCTGAGCTAAAGGCAGGACGACCGAAAGACCAGCCTGCCGTTTTCATTCTGTCCGGAACTATACAACCGCATAAACCTAAGTGCACCCTCCAGAATGCAACTTTCAAGTTCGAGAGTGTACTTCCAAGTCCGTTTTTTTTAAGAAGGGACAAAGAAGGCATACTCACGTTTGGCTGTGAATTTGTTCTCTTTCCGCTTTTTTCCTTTCTGCTTTAGGCAATTCTCGCAGGTGAAACTGCAACGCAGAAACAGGGAAGGCACGAAGCACATCAGCACCGCACAGTCACGGGTCTAGTCTCCCTAATTTAGCGACGGGTCCAAAGCAAGACGGCCGGGTCTCTGGACAGACGGCACGACTCGGCGGAAAGACAAGGTGCTTACCCTTCGGGCCAGATGTTGTCAAAGTGAAGTACGCACACCTGATGCAGCTTGCGGCCGCAGTCGAGGCATTCCACGAACCTGAGGGGGACGCAGAACAACGCGTTCAGTTTACTTCCTCCATCAACTTCAACAACCGGTGCCTCTCAATGTTTATTGACACTGTTAGCCCAGAGGGGCCGATACAAGGTGGAGTTTTAGCACTCGATATGATAGAAAACAAAATATACATATTGGGCCAATGCTTTAAAGGGGCACTGACACCCCAAAGGTCGTATTTATTTTTATTGTCTAAAACGATGCAAGTTGCGGCCATAGACACGCAAAAAAAACCGCATCGCGAAAAAAATTTTTCCCGCACGCACGCGCGCCTTTTTATTTTTGGCGTTTGATTTTCCCGCCTCTCGCCTCCTCGATTCTTTTGATCGGTGACGTCAAAAATCAGGAAATTTAGAAGCTTTGTAGGCGGAATTTTTATAAAATTTAATGACGGCAATCCTAAAACATGTTTTTTAATGCAATTGCGAACGCACTACGGCCCTTCTTTTTGAAATACCAAAAATCGGGAGTTCGTTGTGGTGCCGTCTCCTGGATTTGTATCCTCCAACGGAAAACAGGCGACACCGCTCAAAACCGGTCCGCCGCAACGCCGGCGCTAGCCGGCGCTCGCTCCTTTCCTCCTCGCTTTGGATCGCCATGGCAACAGCAGGGAGTGGTGACAGGAAAGGAGACTCTCAGGTCTCCGCAATTTTTGACGTCAAGGCACCGGCGCCGATCGCGCGGGAACTTCGAATTCGGCATTTGGAAATTGTTTTTTTACTTCACGAATACTGAATTCCCAAATTTCAAATTTTGAGGGTAATGTCCCGGCATCGTTTTCGACCGTTTCGGATAATAAAAAAAATATGATTTTGATGTGTCAGTGCCCCTTTAACCACATGCACAAAGGTTTAGACAAACAACCCACAATAACCGAGGCTCCAACGAGGCTTTCCGGCGTATGTGTCACAATGATGATCTTAAATTTGCAGACTCTTCGACCAAAGAAAGTTTTCCCACATTTTTCCCGCTCGTACCGTTCACCGTCGTTAAACGCGAGAAGTTTAGCAAATCGATGTTTCAACAACAACGATCAGCGTGCTTTCGAGGGTTATGCGACGAGGATGCCACAGACATGCCATTCATTCCTGTCCCGTCGGCGTAGCAGCTACGGCATTGTACACTATTAGTCCCACGAGAACAATATCACGCAAGGAGACGTCCGTGGCCGCTCCAAGGGCCGCTCTCTCGTGCAGAGTTCAAAATGGCTACGGCACTACAGGTGAACAAAATAAGCGCAACCGAGCGCGCCGACCGAACAGAATTTGAAGGCAGAGAGACGCACGAAAGAGGGAACTTACGGCTCGAGCTCCAGATGGTCGTTCTTCATTTCGACAAACTGGTCCTTGCGAATGGTCCTGCGTGGTGTCGCCAAGCGCCAAGGTTCAGTGAACAATGCAGGAACAAGTGCCGAGAAAGCATTCCCCATACCCCGAAGTCGGCCAAAACTTCTTAATTATAGACCCAAGAAATAATGGTAGTGGTCTCACTTGGCGGTCATTTCAGTTTACCAACAGTAACCTCCAGTGAAGGAATAATAAACATATGTCGGGTTATCTCCAAGGCCCTTACGACAGAACCTGTAATCGACGCCGTCATTTTAAAGTTTTCTTACGTTTTGGCACGCATGCAACTCATAGTTGCCTAAGACCTGCACGTGTGCCAATATGCAAATCCTTTTAGCATCGCACCTTCACCTATCGCTTTTCCTAAAAGATTTTTGTCTAAACTGCTCGTCACAGTCCCCACAAAAGATGAATATTATGTGAAGCTAGGTAGAGTAGACCATCACAATCAGGGCAATGAGGCACGTGGCAAGTAATACGGACCAAGCAGAGAGCTCGACTCACGTCTGGGCTTGAGTTGGATCGTCGCCCAGAGTCACGGTATCACCAGGAATCTCAGCAAAGCACTTTTGGCAGTAGGTGTACCTTGGGAGCGGACAAAGAGAACGGGCCGAAGAGTCAGAAATGCACCGCTTTCGTACACCCCTTAACCGGGAGAAGGGGGGGGAGAGATGGGGGAAAAAAATGCTAGGTACCGGTTTTGGTAGCTCCAGTACTTGGCATCCCTAGGGATGGTGCAAAGCTGCTTGCCAAAGCAGCACAGAACTTGCGGTTGAAACACAAACTTTCGGCCGCAGCAATACCCCAACGACTGCATCACGGGATCTATCTCCTGCTCGAACTCTTCTGACAGCTGCACACACAAGACACCGAGAGAGGATCGCATCAAGCTTGAACAATCTCAAATTTCTGCAAAACTGGACGGATTCTATCGAAGCATGGAATGGGTAGGATCGAGACTCTCACCAGGGCGTCTACTAGAGTCACTGACAAGACAAGAGGCGTAGGGCTTCTCCTTTGTATTCCAGCTTACAGCATGTGTTTGTTGCCTTCTGTTGTGCTTTGGCTGCACACCCTCGAAGCTCGTGAGACGCCAAAGCATTATCAAAAGTAGAAAGATTGTGGAAGAGACCCCCCTGCTGTTCTTATTTTGTCAGTGGCTATGTATAACAAAGCAAAAAAAGAAAGGCCTCCAGATTATTAATGACGAAAATGACATGCTGTTCATTACGACCTACTTTAAAATCAAACTTAAAACATTCGCTCTAGGAGCTTAAAAGCATGCAATGAAGTGAGGGTTATTCCCAAATTTACCAGGTCCTCAATCTCACAACAACTTTCCCTGGCCCTCACAATGCTTTTTTGCACATTTCCCCAGCAATTCCCTCATTTTGTGTCCACTTGGGGACCGCCACCTCCTCTGCAGAGTAACAAAGCCATGTCACGCAAGATACTCTAGCCAGGAGCTTGAAAGTATGCAATGAAGAGACAATTCCCTAATTTTTCAAGCTCTCGCAACACTTTTCCCAAATATCCCAGTCTCTGACAATGCTTTCCCCCTACTTCCTGAAATATTTTCCCTACTACGGAGAACCATCTTCACTACAGAAGTAACAAAGCCGGGTCATATGAAACATTCATACCAGGAACTTAAAAGCATGCAACAAGTGAGTTATTCCCCAATTTCCCCAGCTCTTTCAACAACTTTCCCAAATTTTCCCAGCTTCGTGACACTTTCCCCACATTTCACAGCGATTCCCTAGGCTTTTTTTCCCCCGCCATTGGGGACTGCCAACTCTCCTGCAGAGGAAGCAAGGCCGGGCGTCTCACCTTGGTGCAGTAGCGGTAGACACGCGAGGTCTTGCGGTTGTAGAGCCAGGCGTTGTCAAACATGAGCCATACGTCGTCCACGTACTGCCACGGGTCCTGGTACTGACCCGTGTCCAGTTTTCGTTTGATGGTCGACAGGTCCATGGGCTTCTTCACAATGTCAAAGTAGTCCTGCCGGAACACACAGGACAAACCAAGTCACTGAGCGAACCAATGAAGCCTTTCCCCCCAGAAAACAAAAAAGAAAGCTTGGACGCACAAATTTGGTTCAAATCGAGTCGCGCGCCTCGTCGACCCAACGTCCGCCGACAGAAAACGTCCGTATACAACCCCCCACACAAGGCAAACGACACAACTATTGTATGAGGATCTCATTAGGCCTAAAAACAGGTTTGCACATATGCGTCCGAGTGTGATCGACTGTGTAGCAACTGGTCGTGACGAGAGCACCACTTGCGCCATATAACAGCAACATGAAAACCCTTACAATCTGCGTATAACTAGACTAATGGTTTTACAGTATTTTCGCCCGCTATTTACGATAAATGGTCGCTTATAACATTGCCAGAATTATTTCAAGCTCACGACGAAGGAATGATGCATAAAAAAATGAGGAAATACGTGCAATCAGGCAAGGCAACTTTCTCAGCATTTTTGTGTTGCTGGCGGGTTGTTCCCTAGCTTTCCCTAGATCGGCATGAATTGCCGAAATCAGGTCTGGCTCAAACAAGCGAGCAACTTGAAGCAATTCGAAGATGTTTGAAGCAGCAGCAGCCAATCAGGGATGCAATATTTTCCTGCGATACCCCGTGCCGGTGATGATGACAACTAACGACTTTGTTCTGGTTTGAAATTTATAGTTTTTTTGGAAATAAATTGTTTCAAAAAGACAAGTTAGTATTCTCAATGCCATTTAAATGCATGAAAACATGTTATAGCGCATAACTGTCTATATAGAGCAAGAAAAATCAAATGTAATGATGATAGCCAAATGCAGGAATTGGTTGCTGCGTGTGAACGCCGGCGGCCCGTGTTGTGACGTCAAGTTGCTGGGAGAAATTGCCCCGTCTGAAGCGGCCTAAGCGGTCACAAGCGGATCCAATGCTGTCTATCACAATGCACGAACCGGCCTCCATACGCACGAGAGCACGCACAAATAAGGCGCTGGACAAAGTCACGCACTTGCACCGAGAGCCCCAACAGTGTCCAATGCCACGCAACGGACAGAATACAGAAGAGCCGGCGTCGTCGTCACTGAAGGCGGGGAAGAGCGGGCGGTGGGCCGGGCCCCCGGCCGCCTCTGGAACCCTGAGCAACTCACGGGAATCTGCAGGAGGAGGGGGTCCACGGGCTGCCTGAAGGGGAGCGAGTGGGGGTCCTGCCTGTACAGCTTCTCCAGAGTCGGCATGAGGGCCTGACGAAGCTCGTCGGGCTTGAAGACTGCCACGCCACATGCGAGGGAACAGACAGGCGCGGTTGCAGGGACGTGCTCACGTGAACCGAACAGCGCCGGAAGCACCGACAAAAACCTTTGAATGTGAAACGAGTGGAGGCAATTCGCAATCCCTGTCAGCAGTGCCCTGTCCACCGTCCTCAGTTTCGTTGACGCACTGAAGTTTCCCCACAGCAATCAGTTATTCAGCATTTTTTAGGTGAGAGCCGTTACTGACAAGGTCCGCGGCAGATCTCCCGGAGTGTGTTCCTCGTAAAGTCGTCGTGGCTGGGAAATTCTTTCGTTAAATCCAGCGGGAAAATGTCTCCTTTAAACATTGCTTTGTCGCGTGGCACTGCGATGTCTCGTGAAGACATGACGCCGTGCGACACTGACAGCACATGACACGACAATGTCATGGTTTTATGTGATGTCATGCTAAATGTGGGGTGCGATTGTATGGTAGTCTGCATGCAGCAGTGTGCAACTCCCCGGCTGTAACCGGATTTATTTGCTGGACACGGCAAAGAACCCAGACTGTTTTTTTTTTGTTTTTTTTGTGAAAACTGTTTGTAATGTTAGTACCTAAATGTCTACGCTAGTATTCCAAGCATGCCCTCCCCCTTCGCTTCACTACAACGGGCTTTACTCTAGTAAGGCTTTACTGCGTCCAAATAACATCTTCCGAAACACTACAACTGAGCAAAGAAAATTTATCTCAACATCTTGACTCAGTCCAAAATAGAAGTGAGGAAGGCTGGAGATAACAAGTCGCCAGGGCCGAGGGGTTGCGACGAGATCTACTAAATCCTAACATGAGAATAACGACACTTCAGCCACTTTCTTGCTTAAAAGCATTGTTGCCGGTCAACTGAAATCGCAGGAAATGCCTTATCATCCCGCAGAAATGTCAGGACTGTCCCCGACAGAGCGAAATGACATTGTGCGAAATTCCAGACAGAAGATCCACAGCTCAGGAAGCCGCATTATCAAATTGCGACAATCAACCTAGACATTATGCATTTTTGACGTCGCCTGTCGGCACACTGTTGAAAATGCCAGGCTGCAAGCCTCAAAGATGGTGGCTTCTTCGTCTGCATTTCAACCCAATTTTAGGGGAGCAGTTTCAAAATCACAATTACCGTTGGTTTTAAAAAAACAATTTCTCGCACGCTGACTTTTGACAAGGTCTGTTATCGATCACAGCATACAATCATTAAGAGTTTGTTGGATTTCTTACTTCCGAACTAGCAAAAATTATTTTAAACAAGAAAAGAAAGCTATAAAGACACATTCTGCAATCTTCTGAACACAATATCTGAGGGCGATGTTTAGGGAACATCCTCGGAACATGCTAACATTAATAGGCTGCTAAGACCAGGAATCTTGATGGTGCGAAATGCATGTTGCAGAAGAACTGTGGAAGCTCTCCGTCAGCAAGCACTCAAGGTATACTAAGGCGCAGCTTCACGAATTCACCGTACAAGGCGCTAGCATTCGGCAGAGATGCAGAAGTCCAAATTGACATAAGCCTGGCGACACGGGGAAACATTTTGTATCAAGAAAAAAGCCCAAAGGAGGAAATTCTTTGGAGATTTGTGCAAATCAGCGAATTTGAGAATCCAAATGCGAGTGCTGCATCGAGGCACTCAGATTGACGAGGAACGTTTCGAGTAAGTTGATGCATCACTGCCATCTAGATGCATCACATTCTGTGTGGCCTTTTTTTGCATCTCAAAAGAAGGATGGTGCACCACGATCTTTGAGGCATTGTGAATTATGCTTCCAATAGATGGCACCAGAAATATGAATAAGGTCTATTGTGCACACTTTGTGACAAGAACCAAAATGGCGGCGCACACACGAGATTCTGGGAGTGGATTGCATAACCTCTCCATTATCCCTAGTCGAGACCGAACAGACGTCCGGAAAACCCGTTGCCATGCCCCGACCGAAAGCTTCCCCCAAACTCACTCTTCTTGTTCGGTCTGGGTTTGGGCGGGGAGCTCGCCGAGGACGCCTCCGCCGCCGCTGGCTCCGTCTTGATGTCCGGCTTGACTTCCGGCTTGACCGCGGCCGCCGCCGTGGCTCCGGTCTCCCCTGATCCGCCTGCCGGCGTGGCCACGGGCTCCTCCTTGACTGACATGGGCTCCTCCTTGACTGGGCCAAACGAAGGTAGCCCATTCTCCCCAGGCATGTCCAGTCCCTTGCCCTTGCCGATGGACCGCAAGTCCGGCTTGCAGTCCACCTCCATCTTGCCTCCTCCCCCGTTGCCGGACGAGGAGTCCAGCATCGATTTGGGGCCCCTGCGCAAGCGGTGGAAACCCTCTCAGTGTTTCCTTCGACGACGCAGATTTGCGCTCGGTAAGACTGTGGCGCCTTTCTTGTGGACGAAGAATAACGAGCCGTCTGCTCACCCGGAGGAGTCCAGGTTTTCAATGGACTTTTTGCCCTGCTGGGCGGGCGTGGGGGCGGCGGACCCCTCGGGCGTGGACAGGGTGAGCGACAGGTCCTGGTCCGGCTTGCAGTCCTCTGGCACCGAGTCCTCCGTGGCCAGGATCTGCTCCGGGAGCTGGTGCGAGGGCGGCGGCAACTGCAACACCCACACACACACACCACACACCTTTATGGCCACCGCCTCGCAGGGAGCCCCCCCCCCCAAAAGGCAGATAATCTCACGTCGGTGCTCACAAGAGAAAGAACAAGAAAGCGAGCGACGGAAAAGCGGAAAAAGAAAGCGGACGAGTTAGGCGCATTTGTCTTGCTTCAACGAGTTCAAGTTCTTAATTCCGACCGAAACAAACAACCGACATCGCTCTACTGGGACGCAAGCCTCAAAAATCGCCTCAAAGCCACGATGGAATGTCCACCGAAATCTCCTCGAAGACTTCGACCGATGAAGCCGCAATGGCCAGACGTGCATGAGCATATCCTATAGCATATAGAGCGGGTACTACTCGTGCTACTTGCCGACCTGCCGATTGTCGGTGCTGTCGCCACTACCGGGTGCGTGGTTTTGGTTTTTCTGTAAATCCCCCAGACTAAAGATTGAAACCGAACACCGCCAAAACCACACGTGTAACAAAAATAATAAATAAATAATAAAAAAAAAAAACCTGCCTGCCTTTCTTAGATACTTTAAAGGCGCTTGAAATGCACAACATTCACAGGTCCTTTTAACATTATGGTGCCGCAAGACGATACATCTTGCGCCATCCCAGAATCACGAAACGCCACAGGGGTCGTTACGACACCGTGTCATCTGAACTTACGGTGTTTCATTCCGTGAAGTGACTCACAACGTCACGTGACATCACTGAGGTTACATCCCCAGCACGGACACGAAAGCACAAGAGCTAGCCCTACAAGCATCGCGCATCCAAAGAAATCTAGTCACAAAATGCAGTTCGGGGACTGCACAATCCGCAGACTGCGCCCAAACTAAAACACCGCCGGACAGAACCATCCCTCACCACGTTGCCCGTTGAAGACACCGGTGTGGCGCCCCCTCCTCCCCCCAGCGGGGTCGGGGGCTGGGACCCGCCGAGCGTCGTGGGCACGGACTGGGCCCTCGGGGGATGCTGCGGAGGGGGCGCCTGCTGCTGGGGCTGGGGCGTCGAAGCCTGGGGCAGCATCGGAGGTCCCCCTCCCAGGGGACCTCCCAGGGATTGCACTTGCTGTTGCTGCTGCTGCTGGGACTGCTGCTGGTGCTGGCTGCCGGGCCCCCCCACCGACGTGGAGTTGAGCTGGGACTGCAGCATCTGGGACATCTGCAAAGGTGGTTCGCACCGTATAGTAAAGGCTGGTACCATCAGCGTAGCCAGGAGGGGAGCTGATGGGGCTATAAGATTTTACACTATTTGCAAGTATCAAATTGCTAAAAGAAGCTCAGCCCATTCTGTTACTTTTTTGGCTCAAGCCGCTGAACTGTGCTCGGAAGAGGGCAGGAAGCGAACGAGCCAAAAAGTGCTTTAGCAACCGGTTAAAATTCGCACAAATTGGAACAAACAACCGTCAATTTCTTTCCTCCCCTTACCTGCACCGACGCGCCAGAGTTTGCGTTGCCGGAAAGCTGGACTTGATTTGCCTGGTTCATCAGCTGCTGCGCTTGCTGCTGAATCTGGACACCGGAGACAATGCAAATGTCACTACACCGTGAGCTTAGTCGGGCGCACGGCGCACGCGGCTTACACGCCGAGTCGCGGGGCTCGAACCCCACCGGCCCACTGCCCCATTCAGTGGTGGAAGCGGCATTCGACCTTTTGTAGCGGGTTCTGTAGCAGGCAAAATATTGGTTTGGAGCAGCCGCCGACATCCGATAGCACATCGCTCGAAAATAAAAAAAGTATTGCGTCGCTAATCGAGCTCATCTACAACAATGATCGAGGCCTCGTTGATATTGCAGCGTATTAACTATGACCTTCCGTAATATGAATAGATATGGTGCCCTCAGGGGTGGAAGCGGGCTAGAGCCTTTTGTATCAGGGCTGGGAGCAGCAAAAGTCGCACTTTGGAGCAGTTTTGGAGCAGTAAAACGCTCGCTTTAGAGCAGCTCGGGAGCAGCAAAAGTAAGTTTTGTAGCCGTAGAAGTAGGTTTTGGAGCAGGTCACGGAGGTCAAACAAATGTCTAAAAGTGATTTGTTGTTTCTAAATGTGAAAATGTAGCAAAAATATATGCATGCACATCCCAGAATAATTTTCAAGCAACATACATACACATTTTTCTATTTCTATTGCGTTGAAATATGGAATATTGGCAATTTATGCAAAGGAAAGGCTTTGAGAACCATTCCGGCAGCAGGCAGAGTCATGATAGACTTTATATGGGAGGCCCCGACAATAAAAGCCTAACTTGAGCCACGCCAGTACAAAACCGTCTACTTAATAGACCAATTGTAAACATGTATCCAGAAAACTAAACCACTGCAAGGTGTCAGATAAACTACCTTCGCTGACTACAGTTTTTGTTTAATAAAGAATACACATGTTCAATCACTACTTAAAAAGCCCTATATCAAGTTTAGTAACAAAATACAAGGCTACTGACATTTGACAAAAATTCAGATGCAAAATAAAATGTGTATTTTATATCTTTAGACTACCACAGTCACTCGTACATATGCAGCTTTAAGCATCGACTAGAAGAGCAACGCAACCTTATGTACTCCATAAAATGCTGTGCATTGCGGGTCTCCATAAAAAAAAACTAAGGTACCACAACATGTTTCAGAATAAAGCAGTCCTTGCTGACCTGTTTTCATTAAATACAAATGTTCTTAATCCCTGTTCATAAAATACAGTAATCCCTACACCCAAGTTAACATACAAAGCTATATCTAATTACTTTGGATGGAAAAATATATTGTCTTAAAAATATCACAGCCACTAATACATTTGCAGCATAAACACTGACTAGAAGAGCCCACAGGCTCCATGTTCAAAAAAAAAAGGGTTGTAACTAAGCTGAATCTGTGTAATTTAGATACAACTAAAGTTCACCTTTTCTTTTTCACAGTTTGAAGAGCAGAGTCAATTTCTTTTATGCGCTGGAGTACTTTGGGCAGTTTAGAGTTCACATCTCTTAGCAGGAGGTGTCCAATCCCCACCTTGTCCATGTCCTTAACTGCCTCACCCTTGCTTATGAGTTCTTGTGCACTCAGTAGAAGTGCTTTAAGAGAAGGCAGTTTGAACGAGACTGAAAATGAGATGTAGTTGATCAGGCGCTGATCCCTGCGGGGCAGGCTCCCTTCTTACGTGACAAAAAGCCCACCAACTTCTCTCTACCCTACCCTACCCAACCCCCCCCCCCCCCCCCCCCCCCCCCCAACCAGAAACTTATAGACCGACACGCGGAGCGGCTCTGTTTACCAACACGGCCGGAAGGCCGCGCATGCGCGGTAGCTATGTGGGCAAACGCGATTCGGCCCTCCGTGTTTTCGTCATTGCGTTGTGTGGCCGCGCTCGTTGTTGACGTTGTAGGGACGCTTCTAGCTTTATTTGTGATCGCATTTCCTGGCAACGTATGTCGTATGCTATGCCCGACTATTTGAGCTTGCTACCCGAGCCTGAACGGCGGCGTTATCAAAACAGACTATGCGTGGACGGCGTTGCCTACGAGGATCCGTACGCCGTAAACAAGGCCTGCTGGACTTCCGACGTGATGTTGCTGCCACCGAAGTCGACGGCTCACGTCGTCGTTTATTTCGTTTTTTCGCCAAGCCAGTTCACGGACGACACGGAGCAGGCGTACAAGTCTCTCGATGCCTACGATTACTTCGAGTCGGTTTCCGTACTGTCGGCGGGATCAGCAGACTGTGGGTCTGCGGAAGTTTATTTATTAATTAAATAAATATACACAGCGTCTTCAAGTCAAGGTATGCTATTTTTCCTACTCTCATGACCACATGTGCACAAGGCATTACAAGCAGTAACGCTTTGTCCGTTCTGCAGTCTTGGCGGTAACACGTAACAAGTAACGGCGTTGCCAGGAACACGTTACTTTTTTCAGTAACGTAGTAACCTACTATAGTATTTTTCGACACAGTAACGGGTAACGTACTTACGTTACTATTTCAAGTAATGTAGTTACGTTACTCATTACTGCAATCACACTTCAAGTTTTTCCGTGTTTTTAGGCATCAAGCCATGTTTTTCTTTGCGTTTTTTCTCGTCAGTATTTAGGTGAAACCGTAAAAAGAGATAAAGTAATTATGTTCTGTTTCTGCATGAACATAACGTTTCTTGATATATGAGCTTATGCATACCTGTATCTTCAAAACCGTAAAACGTGTTAAATCATAATTTAAAAAAGTAACGCAGAAGTAACATGCTTTACTTTTTATCGGTAGCGGTAACGCGTTCCTTTTATTTTTAGGCAACGTAGCTCAGTAACGCGTACCGTTGATTTGCAAGTAATGAGTAACGTATTTCGTTACTTATTTTTTGGTAACGCCTACCACACTGCCGTTCTGTCGCCGATCCCCTTCTGCTGGGTAACACGGGCGTAGCGAGCCTCCGACGAGCGCTTGGCCGGTGCTTTGTGCGCATACACCGTGGGAACAAAATCCGGGTAATCTCGATCAGAGGACGTTTTCCCTGTACATAAGCAAGCATCGGGACGAAGACTGAAATGGAAGCCGCACTTGACTCCAAGAAAGTGCTTGCCGCACAAACGCGCGAGGCGACCATTCTTTTCGATCCACGGATATTATCCACCTTCTATGCCTTTCAGAGTCTGCCGGGAACTTGTAGAAGCTCACTCCGCTACTTTTCTTTTACATTTCGGTGAGATTAACGGCAACACAGCTTCGCGGCATGCTGAAATGCTATGACGCTCATGCGAAACGTGCGCGCTTTTGCCCACACCCCCCGGCTCCGGCGCGATCGCAGCGCCGCCGCAGCGCCGTGACGTCAAGCCCGCGTGTCGGTCTATACGAGTAGAGTGGCTATAGCAAGTTAAGGTGCGTTCTTGACAGGAATCGGCAGCGCGGGAGTGTTGTACGGCATTTCTGATGTAACCCCCACTCCTCCACGCTAAAGGAAAGAAACAAAAAAGTGTGTAGCACTGCCAATTAACCAACTCGCTTAAGATCGCGGGTATTGTTTTCGCCAGTGGTTTGACGGCGGTAGACAACACACGACAGCGTGCACATTCGCGCACACAATGATGGTTTTGGTTTCGTTTTGACAAGACAAATTGAGCTCGAGAACGCATGTGCCTGTGCTCGCGATTCTTCACGGCTAAGCGTCCAAATATGGTAGGCTACCAAATAACAGGTAAAGCTAGTAAAGACCACTTACTTCTGCTCATGTTAATGGCCAAGGTAGCCCACCGGTGCCGAGGCACCAACTCCCACGATCACGGCAAATCGGGACCACGGGCAACTGCATGCGCGCTCCAACCGCGCCAACCAACTATGCCCGAAACCAAACCGATGTGTTCGTATATAAACTCTTTGTAGTAAAAAACGACATCGCACTCTCGATTAACTAAAATCGAAGCCTCGCCCTGCGGTTACACGTGGTTCGGAGCCCCAGTCGAGTTGGTACGAGTCACCCGCACTGACGCCTAAACAAAAGTACACACCACATGGTGGGCAGTGGCCGACCGTTTTCCGTTAATTTAGAGAAAACACAAAAAAAAAACTGAAATTGGCGTTTAGGAGCAGGCTGGCGCCGGGAAGTGAATTGGCGCAGGGTGGCGCAATTGGCGCAGCGCTTCCACCCCTGTGCCCTAGGAATGCTGAGCTTTCTTAAAAATTCAGCTCATGTCTGAGTAGCTTCCATTTACAACGGAGTATTAAAAAAATGGTTGAAAAATGTATCATAGCTTAACACTTCAGTTGGAATAAAGCCCTTCTCCCTGCCCACTTTGCGCTCGGTAGTTTATTTAGCCCGTCAATTGAATTTCTGATAAATGGGAGCAAAACCAGCATGTCTGCTAACACACCTATCGATAAAAATGCACTCCCAAGTTTTATAGACCTACTAAACTAAAGTCTCATATAACATAAACTGCAAAACCACCACCTACAAATATTATGAAAGCCTACACTTGTGCTTTAAAAAGACAACGACACCCCTCAGAAATTTTGTTAATACTTTTTTCTAGGGGTGTGCGAATACCGAATAGTAGCTTTCGAATCGAATCAAGAAAATAAAGCCGAATATCAAATCGAATATTGAATAGTGATTCTATTTGTAGGAATTTTTCAAAGTGTGCTGCAAATGCGATTATTATATGTGCAGAGTATGCGCCTGGTGCAGAATATACGTCTTGTACAAAACAAAAGCCAAAATGTAGAAAAAATTCTGGTGAAAAAAAAAAGCAGTTGCTGTTGGACGTTGGGCACTAAAGATCCAATTTTATGGTGCAAACATAATCTATCTACCCTAAACGTCACAAAAAAAAACAACAAAGTTACAGCCAAGCGTGCCTTTTTTCTCTTTAAGGGGAAACACTGGTCTTGGAGCTTTTTTTCTTATTTTATGACCAAACTTAATGAAACTGCACAAGCTTATTCAGCTTTTTGTGCTGATTTCATATATCTGGTCATTTTCTCAGTCTGTAGCATTGTCCTCAAAATAATTAAAACTTGCCTGCCTTTGTTTGGAAAAACGATAGAAAAAAAACTGCTCAACAAAATATTCTTTTTAACACATGGCTAGATACTACGAAGTGTAGAGAATACAATGTTGGAAGCACTTTTAAGATAAACTCAATATTAGAGATTTTACCACACATTTAAGTTCAGTGCTCAATGAATGGCTAACAAGTAATATAGCAAAAAATCAAATAGAAATTTTTCTAGACTTATATTAAAAAATCTGCTCTCAACATTGTGTGCTTCACACATTCAGCTATACATTTCAGGAACGGTTATATTTCTATCTGCTCTAGATGCTGAGATATCCCCGCTGCAAATTTTCAACGAGTCCAAAAATTGTGTTTTGTGAAAACAATGTTTTAGAGTCAACTTCAATGCACATACAGCCCGCATAGATATTATAAGTTGATTTATAGCTCAAATATTCATTCACGAAATTATAAGCCTGGTAGATTCAGAAGAACAACAGCCATCGCCATTTTCAAACGCATGCAGTTTTAGGAAGTTTTTGGCTCCAAAGACCCATGTCCCCCCTTAAAAGCACAACCTAAAATCGCTACTTTTTTAAAAAATATTTGTATATCTCAGAAAAGGGGCATTTTGCGATAGTTGGTCTCCATTTTAAGGGAAAAAAATGGCACCTGGGATTTGATTTCACATAAATAAATAGACAAGTGTTAAATCTGAGTAAACAGCAACGAGGTAAACAGGCTTAAATAATATAATCTGAAGTAAGAAAAAAACGTGGTTAGGTGGCGCAGGTCACCGTCCAACTGCCGCTATGCATCCATTTTTCCATTTATCTGTCCTGTTTTAGAGAGCCTTGATTTAAAAGAGGGAGCAACTGAAACCGAAACCACAGAGACTGCTCCATCGCAGATTGATCTTGAATGCGCATGTTTTGTGTTGTCGCGTGGAAAGAAGGTGAGCAAACAGAAGAGCGACGACGCCCGCCCTGCCTGCCCGAACCCGATCGACGCTTTCGTCTTTTCGGCACCTTCTCGCAGTTCATAATTCAAACGCGGCTATCGAGCTGCTGAAAACCCTCTCAAATCTAGGCACACTAATTTTCCGTTCCGTTTCGTTCCGAATCAGAATTTGCGGTTCCAAAAGAACGATGACGATAACTCGACTGGTTTCGCCGATTTCTGCGAGTGCGGCCAAGTATGTTTTACATCGGCGCTTCAATTTGAAACGAGGGGCTTTACTCGTGAAAAGAATTGGGCTTGGCGCGGAATTCCGGCTTCCCAACAATTCCTCTCTGGAACCAGCGCAAGCGGGATGTTTCGGTTGTGATTCAAGGGTAGATTCTGTCACGATCGTGAGTAAATCTGCGTGCTATAAAGTTTGTGGCGTTCGTTACTTTGCTTTTTTCTAACCTGTGCGTTGGATTTTTGTGGAACGGTAGGACCAAGAGCTGTTTCTCGCATGGTCTGTCTAACATCACGGCGCTCACATCGGGAGAAAAAACTGCTTTTTTGTTAACTCCGCGCCGACCGCGCGTCTTTGGCCGAATATATTGAATATTCGAGTAACCAAATACTAGGAATTCGATTCGCGAATCGAATTATTCGGGAACTTTCTATTCGATTCGAATTCGTATATTCGAGTATTCGCGCACCCCTACTTATTTCCCAAGCGATTTATAATGGTCTCAGGAGACTACCGAATCAATATTTTGCTACAGAGTTACATTTATCTTTAATAAAACCAAAACGGTCAACTGCTCGAAACTGAAAGATGTGCGCGAAGCCTCCAGAGGGGAGTTGGCAGAACTCATGTGGCTGTAGCTCCCTACCCAGTTTTTTTCAGCTCCTCTGCTTCTCGGCCGTGTGAAGCAGACGACGGCAACAACGAACTTGCGTGAACCGTTCGTCGTGCAATCGTTCCGCACTTATATCCCTTCCCCTCGCCGTTCTGCGCTTGAAGGTCGATTGGTCGGTACCACGAACCACAGTTCCTAAGTAGCCACCCCACGTCCGTCGCAACGTTGGTCCGTCGTGCGCCGCCGTCGCGTCGTCCGGCCCGCGGTACGTTGCCATACTGAGAATGATGCGTACATGCACTTCCTGTGATCTGTGCAACAATTTTATAGATTAACGTATTTGCACTTTTTGAAAGCCACAGAAATGGGGCTCACATTCTTTTCAATTTTTAAAATCGAATATGTACCTTAGATTACCCACGACCATGAATATGCTTAGCAAGCATCCGTCTGAACGACGCATGAACATGGAAAAGAGAGTGAGCGCACCTGAAACTGGCCTATTCTCGACCGGTCGTTTTCGGGCGGAAAGAATACGAATTTTGAGCCGCAAATTGCGTTCTGGGTAGTTGGGCTCTCGTAAGTCGTGTTCAAATGAAAACATTGGAACGCATAAGTACCCAATCGGTGTCCTTCTAAAGGTAACACTGCTCTTCAGCGGCCTTATAACCAGCTAAGTCAAAGTGTGTTGCACTTTCGATTGACAGCTGCATGGGAACTACCTGGACTACCACTTCTAATCAAAGATAGACTCGTGTTTGTTTTTTTTTTCTCTTCATTGGCGCAGTTTTTTAAATCAGAGATCAACCTAAAATCAAGACCAAAGAAGGTCGACTTGTATTAATACGGAGCCTAATCTCCGTGCCTATCGCGCCAGCCCTTCACAGCCGCTGCTCGTAGCACTCCGTAGTAAATGCAGGCGGTATTTCTTGTTCGCAACGTCACTGTCGAGGTTACGTCTCGCGGACACGAAAGCCACACAGACGACGCGCGTTTAGAAACCCACCAAGTGCCGCTTCATGGCCTCGAACTGCTGCGTCTGTGGGAACTGGCTGTTGAGGCCCCCAATGGCCCCGTCCAGGCCGGACGAGAGGGCGTTGGAGCTGCCGCCCCCGGCCCCGCCTCCGAACGAGAGTCCACCCACGGCCCCCGACTGCTGCTGCTGTTGCTGGAGGGGGCCCCCCGCGAAGCCCCCGGGACCGCTTCCCTGCGGCGCTCCCAGCGAGTTGGATGGGAAGGGGCCCGGCACCGTGATGTTGGGGGGCGCCATGCGCTGACCCCCGCCGAGGGACGCGCCCCCCGGGAGGTGGGAGGGGCCGCCCCCTTGCTGCTGGGAGTTCACGCCGGCCCCCAGGCCTGCGGAAGAAGGAGACGCATCAGCACTTGCAATGAAAAAAAAAAAAAAAAACGTCCCCAGGTATTTTTTTCTTGTCTTATGAAAATAATATTTTATTCACAAATTCGCATCAAGGTACAAAAATCCGCCTCACAAAAGCACTCGCATGCTTGTGCATAAGAACGGGCAGTCCATTCAGACATGCATATTGGAAAAAAAAAAGTAAAAGAAAGAGGAAAAAAAAGCAATACATGTAGATTTAGTCTTTGCTCACTGTTCAATCTTGAACAATAGTGGGTGCTTACTATTTATAATCCTACAAACACTTGACTGGGCAGCACATGCTTTCAAGCTGCATCCCTCAGAACCGTCAGTTCTCGAACTGTGCTCCTCAAAGTACTCTCGTGCATTCCACCAAGCTCCCAAATTTTCTCGAGCGCCCCAGAGCCCCTACGGTTCTCCAATCGCACCTAGGGATTAATCTACGGTAGAATCTCCGCTAATGAAGTCCACTTTCTTTTTCTCTTTAAGAAAAACAATTGGTACCCATACCAGGTTCTCAAATGCCCCCTGCCACAGTGCTTCCTAAACTTTGCACCAAACGTTGCGTCTATGCCTGGCCAAAAGCGAAAACACTAAACGTTGCGTCTATGCCCGGCCAACGCGAAGAAAGAGCTGAAATGAGTCACACGAGAGTCGCTCACCGGGGGCGGGACCCCTGCCCGGCACGGCGGCGCCGGGCGCCAGGGCGTTGGGCGGCACCCCCATCTGGGGCGCGCCGACGTGCATCTGTTGCTGTTGTTGCTGCTGCTGCTCCTTGCTTTTCCGCCGCTTCTCCTCCAGTTCCTTCTGGATCTTGTAGATCTTCTCCGCCAGCAGGTGGTAGTACTCCTCCTGTGGGTTCACGCAGGGCACGCATTCGCTCGTGTTCCGACTATGGACCGGCACACTGTTTACTAGCAGGCCTGCATTTGTCCACACCGGGTGTGGGCACTTCGCACCCACTAGCCGACATTGCGGTACACAAATCCCGGTGCCTAGACTCTCCCAGTGCTGTAAGAGGCAGTGGAATTTGTGCGTAAGAAAGGCAGCTTTCTTGTCTCAGCTCTGTTGCTACCTGCGCCACCAAGAAACATACTTCAACATTGCTTTGCCGTAGCAATGTTTTCTGTAGAGCGGTTTTACTGCAGCCTTTTTCGTGTCGTTTACCGCCGTTTACGAAAGTTACAAGCTCCAGTCAATAGCTCGGGAAACGAGTCCCTACAAATGCAAATTCGCACTACAGTAAGACCACGGAGGCGTACGAGCACGAGCTAGACCTCGTAGCTTTCCAGGGGAACAAAGCGAAGCTAGAGAAAAAAAATGTCAAAACGGTCGGAGTCTCACCCTGCTGTTGGCCATCTCGTACATGTCTCCTTCGACCATCTTGGCATAAGCGACTAGTTTGTTCATCCTCCGATCCTGCAGAGTGGCTGGCTCAGGGGTGGGGAAAATGGCTTGAACTCTGCACACGTGAGGGAAGAGAAACACAACGGATGAGACCCTCGCGAAAACCGGGAAAGCGAGCGAAAACACGCAGACGAAACCCGGACAACTCTTCAAATGCGGCGACGAGCTTTCGGCATCGGAAGCAAAGCGTCGGCTCGTGGCTCTGGCTTGATCGATTCAAATCACTGTCCAGGTGCCCGCATCGCGTTGTAGAATTGTTGCTGTACATCTGGTGCGTTTAGAGTCACCCTACCCTGCCCAAACATAGGAAAAGGTCTCCAAGCTGCAATATATGACGCCCTCGCTGATGTGCCACTGCGAGCACCGCGACGGGGAACGACACTTGTGGGACGTCAACAAGTGGAAATCGAGGGATTTTACGAGGTGGTAATCGCACCAAGCGGCGTCGGGACGTTTCGGTGGCACCCTTTTGGAACTTGCTCGTGCGACATCACCACCCAGATTTGCCTCGCCGTAATGTCTTCAACTGCGACATCGAGGCAAAACATTGTTGCAAACAGCAAGTTGCTGGCGCATGTAAAAAACGCAGTAAAAGCTCAAGTCGTCCCAATCTCGAATTGACACCGTTGACGTCGACGGTACGACGTCACTCTCATTTCCATCGACGAAGAGGGAATTAGTCCCTTCCGAGACGTCCGAGTCGGCGTCTGGCCAATCACGGAAGGCCAACCACAACGACACTTTCGGTCGCGCAGGGGTCATCAACAAGCACCAAGCAGCTAGGACTGGTGACACGCCATAGGCTGGCTCGCGCACTCAAGTTTGCTTATAAATGAGTTCTTGCGACCTCTTACGACGAGCGACTGTAAGAGGTTGCAACTGATTTCATAGGTGGCTGGTGCCACCTATGAAATGGCCCTGGAACTGCATTTCACCAAAGCAAGTTTCGTAGTATTTGCGAGATCAGAAGCGCATACTAAGATAAAAAGTCATTCTAACGTTGTCGAAAGTTTGTAGATACCGTGACGCATGAAAAAAGCAAGAAACCGACTCATTCGTAACCAGACCCGAGTGCACAAACGTGCCAGAAGAGATCCCCCGAAAGGCACCGAGCGGAACTCTGCCGGAAGTGCCCTAGACGCAGTCACTCACATTTTGAGGACCAGGTGGTGCCTGAGGTCCCGCGTGACTGACTGGTGCCAGTCCTTGGCGATGCCGGCGGGCTGGGTGAGGCTCACGCCGCCGGGGCCGCCGCCGGTCGGCGCCACCTGATTGGGAGGCACCACGGAGCCCACCCCCGAGCTGCCCCCCTGCTGTTGCTGCTGCTGCTGTTGCTGAACCGCTTTCATGAGCTTTGCCGTCGCCAACGCCGCCGGCGACGTGGGGCCACCCATGAACGGCGACTGGGGCCCACCTGCGGAGTCGGGAGGGGGACGGACCGGTTAACGCGTTCCAACGGCACAAGAGACAAATTTGGCCGCGGAGTGCCACTAACGTGGTAGGTGAAAGAAATTGATGAACAGGTAGATAATGGTCGCATTAACGATCGGCAGGTCGAGAAAAGATGCACACTGCTCGAGGCTAGGTGCTACGCACCAAGACGGCGAAGATGCCAACTGGCATGCAACTACACAGCACGGAAACTGCAACTGTTTTACTACGGGAAAATACAAGTTAATAATGTGCCAGGAGCTCCTCCCACACCCTCTTTACTGCCAGCCAGCGTTCCTCCACAATGCACAAATAGTTTGTTACCGAAGTGCACGTCATGCCGACATCTGTGGGGATCGCTGTTTACTGCTCACCCACAAGGAGGACAAGACAAGTTGGATACGTAAAAGATGCACGTTTAACCGAACAGGCTCGGAAATCGAGTGCACCATCCCGCACGTCACGCAGCTCGTCATGGCTACTGCCTCTTCCGTTGGTCAGCGGAGCGATTTCCTGCCATGGCTCGCACGAGGAAACGGTTATTTAGCGCATTCTTAACTTGTATCCGATTATGTCTAATAATAGATGTTCTATGCAACCACCCCATCCACACAGATGCTCAGATTTGCAGACAGACATTCAACTGTAATAAAGGCAATGCCCTTTTTGTCCTCCTAGAGGCCACTATGGGCTTATCTTGGCACCCTGAAACCCCCTAATGCAGTGTGATGCTTCTTTAGCTATATGAAAGACCCTTAACAATAAGTATGTGAGTGATTTCTTGGACAGAAAACGGTTCTTTGGAAAAGCATGCCAGCCTAGGGAGCCTTCATGTGCGCTTTGCTAGGGTGATGCCATCCTTTGTAATACCACTTGCCGACAAACCAGCAGCCATTTTGTCCCTCGGTGATAATCCGTGGGGCTTATAACCCTCCCGGAAACAAGCACCTTATCTCAGAAGTTCGGAGCAGCGTTGTGGAACCCACGGAGGGAGGATTAGCATTTTCCCCCTCGGATGGGATTACCGATGGACACAAAGGCCACTTTACGGCGCGCGGGGAAACAATGAGAGAAACAAAATGGCGGTGGAAGAGGGTGTGGGAAAGGGAAACAGGCAGTTGGCATCACTCTATGCGAAGCGCACATGAAGGCACTCTATGCCAGCCTCATCTGCCAGGTCTTCAGAAAACTCAACGTTCCCGTCTCATGTCGGTGCTTTGGCAAGACTAGTTTATTATGCCATCAAAATATCAGACACCGAAGTTCGATACAGCATCTGCCTCGCATCTCGCCGAAGAAAACTGGTGTTTCTAACCACTATCAAATAGTTTTATGTTAACAGAAAAAAAATTTCTAGTTTCAACTTTCACGTTTTTTGAAAGACAAAAAAAATAAATTATATAGTAAAGATACAGATGTGAATGAGGCAGAGCTCAAGTATACTCACACTACTGGCGCATGCATATTAAAAGAACACTAAAGTGCTTTTCGAGGCCCTCGTTTTATGGTCATAACTAAACCTACGAGCTTTAAGCATCCTAAAAGACCCAAAATTACATTCACGCGCAGCCGATTTGCGTATTAAAGAAGTGATACAAGATCCCGACACTTACCGTTGGCGCAGAACGACAGACGGCGCTACCGAACCCTGCTGAATATGGTCGAACGACAGACGGTGCTTGTCAGCCACTCGCAAGCGGTGGGCTCCTGCTCTGACGAGCAGGACTGGTCGGCTGCTCGTCCACGTGAGAACCCACCACCCGCGAGCGGCTGACAAGGGTCGGTCGTTGTTCAACCGTATTCAGCAGGGTTCGGTAGCGCCACCTGTCGTTCTGCACCAACGGTAAGTGTCGGGATCTTGTATGACTTCTTTAATACACAAATCGGCTGCGCGTGAATGCAATTTCATGTTTTATTAGGATGCTTGGAGTTTGTAGATTTAGTTATGACCATAAAACGAAGACCTCGGAAAGCACTTTAGTGCCCTTTTAAGATATTGACATAGTGAAGATTCCTTCTGAAAAAATAACTGTACCATTATAAGAGGTTCTCAAACTGGATTTCTAGAAACCCAATGGTTCCCCAGACAGACCTCAAAGGTTCCTAGAGCTCTCAAATTTTCTCGATTACCCCTGCCCCTATAGGAAGAATTCACTGGTGGCCTTAGCTGAGCTTGCGACTGCTGAACAGGTTCTGATGGCGAGCTTCTACAGTTCTTTTGCAACGTGCATTCCACACCATCGAGGCTGCCGGTCTTAGCACCCTATTAATGTGAGCTTCTTCCGAGCATGCGCTCTAAATAGCACCCTCAAATATGGCACCCACTGAATAGCCCCCCTACTCTGTTCACCCTTAAGCAGAGACTGCAGTCAAAGCTACAAGCGCGGGCTAGCCCGTGCCCCTGGCTTTGAGACGTGCATTTCCAGAGAGAGTGCTCGTCCTGCGGAAGAACACCTCAAAGCGACTACCCCATCTGTCGTGCTCGTGACATCGGCTATAGCCTCAGCTTAAGGGTGAACGGACCATAGTAAAGTGTTCTTCCCGTCTAAGCCCCACTTCAACAGATCCGAGCCACTCCCCGACACCTAGCTACAAGCCAATAACTGCACGTTAGGGTTTACAAGGTCTGCAGGTTTCTGCACTACATTACTGTATCAACGCCAAGACCGGACCTTTGGCTGCCATTCAGAGCAGATGGGGGTTCTTCGAGGTGGAAAACCTTGAAAACCCGCATTTTGTGCTCTCTTTTCAGCTTACGGCCCGACGCAGCCGGAGCCACGAGATGATGGGACCGACCGGACAGTGTCAAAAGCGCAAGTGACCGGGCGTTCCAAGCACGATTGGTTCGGCGACGACAGAACATGTACAAAAACACCACAAACACCCCGTCGGTACACTTGTGACGCCACACAATTGGTCCCGTCAGCTCATAATGTCGGCTGTGTCCAAACTTAAAGACAGACCCAGAAAAAAAAAATTATGCAGAAACAGGGGAGTTTCAAGAATATTTACCCCCGCCAACACCTAGAGAGCATTCCCAGAAAGTTTCACTAGTTTACACCACATAGTAATTTTTTTTTATAAATTATTTTCGGTTTACCGACGCTAAAGAAAAGGTGGAAGTTCGAGCACTTTCAGCGTGTTTTTCTCCGCTCCACTTTTTCGCATAAATTTAATGTTAGGCAAAACTATCGTTTGGTATAGCCGATTCATACGACGGACCGAATTGAGATTTTCACCCGCAGACCGTGTACCATGTGACCTGTGCGCCACCCATTCCTGGGATCTGCACCACATCCGCATACGCGCGGACTGACAAAGTCGAGCGCCTTTTTACTTGCGGATTTTTGGCGGGAGATTGCTGGCTCATTTTGTCGCGTAATTCTTGGTTCCATGCATGAAAGAATTTGACCGGCTGATGCGACGCAGTTTCCGATACTCCTCCGGGTCTGTATCAACAAGCTCCCATCAACACTCGTCTAGCATGCCGCGATAATTCTTGCACGTCCAATCAGGCTCTCACCAAGCAACACCTTTCTTGTGGCTGGGGTGTACTCGAGTATTGTGCACAAGCGCGGAGTGCATGGAGGTATCTTCAAACGCCCCTCTTCGAGCCCCAAATTTCGTCACTTCTACGCCGAACCCTTCTCAAATAGGACCATGCTGCCTGTGTCACTGTCATGCCTCAGGTCAGTAAAGCTAGTGGCCCTTTGCATGAAGCCTATCACAGCGTTTCGTCTCTATCTGTGCATAACAGCGGCGTATGATTCTTTAACGCGGCAGCAAACGTCGATTTCTCTCTTAGGCAACGGTCCCACGGTTCAATGTGGGGAGTTTCACGGCACTGTGGGTGGTGTTCGGTCCGTCCTCGCTGGCATCATCTTGTCGTCTCTCTCGTGTAAGTGCGCTTGGGAGACTAACAAGCTGCAGACATGTCGTCACGTGATCAATCCGTCCGCGGATCAGTCTGTCGTGTGAATCGGCCCGTAACGGGACAAAAAGGAAGACTTGCCCATTGTTTTTCCCAACTGGAATTTTATGAGCAATGCAACTGTGGCAGTTTTTTTTTTTGTTTTTTTTTTTTAACTTTGTGAATGTTTTTTATTCGACATAACAGGCAAGACCTTTGCGATTTTTCATAATTTTAGCATAAAATTAATTACTTTTTGGAGATTTTGTTTTCACAGTCGCACCCTCCAGGCATTCTGGGGCATATCTAGTGAAGAAGAATGTTGGGTATTACACTGGCTTTCTAACAATAGCTTTTCTAAATGATGTCACTGTGTTCCTGATAAAAATAACTATGATTTCCTTCACAAATCATGTACACAGATGAAACTTTTTGCATTGCATTCGTCCTCACAACTGCCACTATATACTGTAAATTTAATTTAATATTAAGCTGAAAGCTCGAAGGTTGACCCAAAAGGGTTAACTTTTGAACCTTTAGTCCCACACTGATACGGTGCACTTGGTTTTACCTTAAGGTAAACCCAAGTACACCGGATCAGGGCGGGATTTACGAGCCTGGACCGAGAGCAGCGCGCAAAGCCAGGTGGGTCCCCAGCCCCTCCCTGAAGGACCCCTACTTTGGTTGGAGGGTCCCAGGGGTGGCCTCTGGGGCGCCTGTGCCCCCAGGGATGCCGCCCCTCCCCCGGGGGGCGCCCCCGGCTGGGAGGCCACGGGGTTGGCGCCAGGGCCCGAGAGCAGGTCCTGAGGGGAGCAGTGGCTCCCAGGGCCCACCTGCTGCAGGTCATTCACTGCACAAGCACATGCGGGCGGCCCGTTATGGAGGTGGCAGCGGGAATCCGCTACCGGTATTGTGCGGGGCGCTACAGCCGGTTGACGCATTTGCATTTCGAGTGCGATCGAGTGTGCCGCAACTTGCTTAGGACGAGAGAAAACATGGGTGCGTGGCTGCATAATGATTTATCCTCTACCCCAGGCTGGATCCAACACAACCGCGAGTCAAATATGGAGGTATTACGTAACAAAACAATGAAGGGCCTCTGGCACGCCAGAGCAGAGGTCCAAGGATCAAAGACTGGCTTGCATGCTCGCAACTGACTACGACCCCCCCCCCCCCCCCCCCCCTCTACGTTCGCACACAGCAGCCGGCTAAATTTTGCCATCATTGTCGTTAACCTTCAATTTTCTTGCACTACTGAAATGCGCAGTTTCTCACTGTCAACATGTTTTATATATTTAAATGGTGTTGAGAATATTGAGTCATCTTTCTGCAATGACGGTTAATTTCCATAAACTATCAATGTCATACCAAAACCGAATCTTTAGATGTCATCATCACAGGCACGGAGTGTCACATGAAAATACTGCGTCCCCGAATGGCTGCTGCTGCTTCAACGTTGTCCCGAGTGGCTCGTTTCTTTCGAGCTGGATGCAATCTGAGCAATTCATGTCGCGGCGCCGGAATCTAGGGAAAGCTAGGGAACAACTTGCCAACCATACCGATATTCACGGCCTAACTGGGCCTAAGCAAATGCACGTGTGAACGGGCCTTATTCTCGACCGCCCGGGGATCGTTTTGACGTGCCACCAGGGTCTCGATTGCACGGCGCCTTTCCCGCAATGAGCCTCTGTCCGACCACCTCGGCCGTGATTTGAACTCGCCACCCAGAGATCCGTACGCCGTCCAGGCTCGTCCGCTCCCTGCACACCTGGTGCTTGTGCTTACCCCTCAAACGAGTCCACCCGCTTTTGTTTCCCCCGACCTCACCAACGACGGCGCGAGCAAGGTTGTTTCGCCGTCCTTCGCTCCCCGCGCCGTTGCCTTTGATTGGCGCGCCCCCGCCCGCATTACGATGCGCCAAAGAAGCATTTCGGAACGCTCGCTCAGCGTTTGGGTCGGCGCTTTGCCTCGGAGCCATTGAGGTGGCTCCCAACACGACCTCCGAATTTCCTACACAAAGTACACGAGCCTATGGTACATACCGCCCCCAAAGGCCGCTCCCAGATCGACAGTCCTGAACACTTCGATCTGCGTATAGGGCTAGACCGAAAGCTTTGCAGTGTTTGCGAGAACAAACCTGAGCACTCTCCCCGAGAAGCGGCCGTTCGTAACGTTGCAGTGGTGCCATTAGTCTGAGCGATTTTGAAGCAGCAACAAGTACTTCTGAAACATACATTTTATTCTTATTCATACCAGTGCGAATATAATATTATGATTTATGTGTTCCTGTTCAGATTGCCTTCCTGCTTTTGTGCAACATTTTGATGGCGTCAAAGCATGCCAGGTTTGATTCCCTAGCTAGCAGTTTAATTGCACGCAGAAGTACAAGGCACAGTAACAAGATGCGTATTGATGACGGGTTGTAAAAACTGCAATGCCTGGTTATTTTAGGTATGAAATCAAACATAAACCAAGTAGCGCAGCCTACTGAAATAATGCTGAAATATAATACTTTTGAGCTCCCAAACTGATGCCTTTTCAAGTTCTAGAGGTTGTAAAATAAAACTGCCATTTCGAATTCAGATAGAATACAAAGCTTTTATCGTTTGATTATCAACATCAATGACATTTTATAGGCAGAACTTCACGATAACAAAAATCAGCATGCAAAACGATAAATACGCTTTATTAAAAAAATCCCGTTCTGGTTATTCCCAAGTTCGCATTTCCTGCTCCAATTAATTTAGTTTTCATTTACTTCGTTCACCATGCCATCGCATGGATGGAGCCTAAATAAGAAAAATAACTAAACGAGGGTTGGCATAAATAATAAACATATAGAGCTGGTCATAAAAGTTTGCTTGCAATACTCAAGTATCCTTGATGAACATTGAATGAGAAAAAGAAATTGTTAGAATAATGTAGTATACACTACATTTTTTTTTTTTTCAGAAACTGTGTGTAATTTTTTTGTTTTGGGGAAGTGCTTTTCCCATAGCAGGTGGGTGCACTGCAGCAAACCAAGATATGCAAAATTGAAACGCCTACCACACGGCGACAAGCACACTCATTGATGCTAGCCATCCAGTCAGAACGGACAATGAGCATAAGAAATATTCCAAAACTTCCGAGTACTGTCAATGTTTGATGCAGAGATCAAATTTAATCTGACGTTATTTAGGGGGAGACATGGGTCTTTGGAATAAAAAAAAAATCCATAAAAAACTGTTTTTTGGAAAATGCTGATCTTGAAATCTAAAGCTCTTTTTCTTTTGATCAGCCAAGTTTCTTATTTTTTGAAGATTAATTTTGAGTCATAGATGCTAAAACAACACTTTCTCAAAACACAAGTTTTGGACTCCTTACAAATTTTAAGGAGGGCTTATCTAAGCATCCAGGGCAGACAGAAAGATAACTTTTTAGAACCATGTAGCTAAATGTGCAAAGAATGCAATGTTGAAAGCAATTTTTCAATATAAATGTAGGAAAATCTGCTTTCAACATTGCATGCTTCGCACATTTAGCTACATGGTAATAAAAAGTTATCTTTCTGCCTGCCCTAGATGCTGAGATATCCCTCCTAAAAATTTGTAGAGAGTCCAAAATTTGTTATGAAAAAGTGTTGCTTTTAGCATTGGTGTTAGTGCAATATCAGCCAATAACTATTAAAAAGTGATATCATGGCTCAAATATTAATCTTCAAAATAAGAAATAGCAAGATCAAAAGAAAAATAGCTGTCAATTTTAAAATCCTAATTTTCCAAAAAAAAAAAAAAAAAAATTATATATTTTTTTTTTTTTGGCTTTAAAGACCCATGTATCCCTCCTTTTAAAAAGACACTGACACATCAAAATCATTTTTTTTTTTTATTATCCGAAAAGATTGAAAACGATGCCGGGACAATACCTTCAAAATTCGAAACTTGGGAATCAGTATTTGTGAAGTAAAAAAACAATTTCCAAATGCCGAATTCGAAGTTCCCGCGCGATCCGCGCCGGTGCGTTGACGTCAAATAGTGCGGAGTCCTGCAAGCCGACTTTCTTTCACGACTCCGTGCTCCAAGCCGCTGTTGCCACGGTGACCCGAAGCGAGGAGCGGGAAATAAGGGCTCCGGTGCGCCGGGAAAAACCGGTTTTATTCCGTGCCAGCGGTGCCGCCTGCCCATGCGGCATGTTTTCCGAGGGAGGATACAAATTCAGGAGGCAACATCCCACCGGACTCCGATTTTTGGTATTTCAGAAAGAAGGGCCGTAGTGCATTCATAATTGCTTTAAAAGACATGTTTTACGATTGCCGTTATTAAATGTCATAGAAATGTCGCCTATAAAGCTTCTAAATTTCATGATTTTTGACGTCAAAAATCAAAAGAAGCGAGGAGTGGGAGAGAAGGGCAACAAAAATAAAAACGCGCGCGCGCGCACCTAAGAATTTTTTTTTTTTTTTTGCAATGCAGTATTTTTTTGTGTTTATGACTACAATTTGCATCGTTTTAGACAATAAAAAAGAATACAACCCTTGGGGTGTCAGTGACCCTTTAAGATGATAATCGAAAAATTCTGGAAATTCGCACTAGGCTACCGTAACAATTCGGCCATTTAACGGGGGGGGCTCGATTTATTATATGTTCGGTAGTATTAAAGTGAAAAAAGGTTTTGGTGCAGTGTTGATGCAAATTCCTCATATTTTGGCAAAACTTAGAAGGATGTAGCAGGGTAAGTGCTTTTGGCACAGCTTGCCGCAAAGGGCGCAGCAATCACATCACTGCATTGTCAGAATTATTGGCGAAAGAAGGATTGATAAGTAAGAAATTAGGATATAAGCAGGACGGAGTTCTTCCAGGTCTCCCCAACAGGTGGCATCAGTGCGTTCTCTCGACAAAGGTAGTCACAAGCGGTTGTAATGCACTCGGTCACACTCACGACGCAAATGTGTGAACCCGCCTTTAGAAAGACAGCACCAGGACTAGTAACAGTTAAAACCAACAACTACTACTACTACTTTTACTACTACTAGTGACAAACAGCTACCGTGTTTGCATAATTCTAACGTGCACCTTTTTACGCCAAAATCGGTGCCCAAAACTACATGCGCGTTGCAATCAAAACCACAACCCGAAATTAAAAAAAAAAAAACAGTGCTCGGTATCAGGTGGCTAGCCCCATCGCCATTGTGACCGTTTGTTTACATTCGCCATTTCGGTATACGTATAACGCGCATTCGCTCGTGTCTACCGACTCGTGTCTGTCGTTTTAAGATGAAAAAACAAAAAACAATTCCACTGGGAGGCTTTATTTAAACAAAAGGGCATCACGCTGGCGGGAAAGGATAACGGAGCAGCACTGCGCGGCCTCGCAATCCCAGCCTCCCACTCACTAGCAAAGTGTTGTTTGGAAGACGACCCTGCCACAGGCGACGGTCGCGCACTCGTACATGCGGAAGGAGCGCAGCACTTAAACCGCTTTAAAAAGCAAGTATTACCTCTGTGGACAGTGAAGAACCATCGTCGGACTCTGTTAACTGCGACTAGTGCACGGCATTCATTTTTGTGTTGGCGTGCCTTTCATAAAACCTGTTCCATCAGGTATGCGTTCAATCTTCATTATTTTACCTGCACAATAGAATCAGCAGCAATTTACTTTTTGATTATCTGGAAGCTAAATCGACCTGCACATTAGGATTGGGGCGCGTTAGAATCGTGTAAACACGGTACCACACCTCACTAGTTCGAATTCTTTTTTGTAATTTGAACAACTTCCATGGTTCGAAAAACGCTGCAACAGAAGTCCACGTATAAAAATCCAGTAATATGCTCGCAAATCAGCTCCGCCGCCAGCAATTCAAAGTGCAGCGCGCCGCCAAGTGGGATTGCATTGTCCGCTTTACCCGCAGCTAGATGGCAGCAGACGCCACCAGACTCTAAGAGTTTTGCCATGTCTATCCATCCATTGCTTACGGCTGCGGCACTCTTTTGAGCACGTTCGGTTTGGTTACCTAGTTTCAACCGTTCTTTCCTCCCCTTGCTCTTCGGTTTGAGACTCTTGAGTTATGTTGCCGGCGGTTCTAGGTTACGTTATGTGCTAGACTGCTGTTTCGCAACGCCGTTGACGGGCGTAAAGTCGACACCAGGTGGCTTCTAAGCGTGCATTCGCAGAAGGAGCCCTTGAGCAAGAAGAGCGCGTATTAAAGCTAGCAGCACAAGCTAGCCCGTGCCTGTCGCCTTGGCGATCCTATCAGCTGAAAGGTTCCCAATTATCAAGTCAGTGACAACAACTGCGTACTGCTTCCTCCGGGATGAGGAGGAGACACCGGTACAGCCCACATATGGCAATCCACATTGCGGGTTATGAAGGCACTTTGCGTCATGTACATCGCCTCGTCTTCCGCTGCATCCGTGCACAAAACTCGAAGACCATTACATTAAAGAAATGTGATTACGGGGATTTTTCACCGATAAAAGGTGGTAGTTCTCAGCACTCCTGAGTCTACCTGCGTCAAATGCGGTTTTCTTTTTTTCGACGTTATTAGCTTGAACTTCATCTAATTGCAAACACCGTAAATCCCACCTAAAAAAACTAACAGGCTTTTACTGTGCTCTACTATTACTCCGAAAGAACACCATTCTTTCAGGGTGTCTAGCAAATTATTACTTTGAAATTCCTCGACTTTTCCAGGTTTTCCCTGACCACTGTAGAGGCGGTTAAGTATACAAGACCATTACAACACAACGCATTGATCATTGAGCACTGTATCATTTTGCATGGGCTTAATCCAACTTGCATATTTTGAAATATTCGGGTTTGTCCAGTCCGGATTAAACGAGCACTTTCTTGCCGCCGACATCGTCAGTGAAGAGGCCACTCCCGGAAACACTATGAAAACACGACATTCAACCACACACGTCAATAACCGAATGGTACCATGGCCGCATGGCCGCCAGATGCACACTTTCGGCTTAAGGCTTGGATTAAACTGGGGTCTGCGACTTTCCCATTTGTTACTAAATCTAGTAGCTATACCTGAATCTAGTGTAGTGCCTTGCCCTCTATCCAATTCAAGGCTTTGACTAGATTTTTCGGCTCTTCCCTTTGCATCGGGTAGCATACTCTACATTGGGTGAGCAGAGCCCGCGCTCCACTCTAAACAGAATTTAATGCCTATTTTTCTATTTCCAAGTCGTCAAGTCTTTGCTCAGGGAACTCGATGTCGTTTCCGGCTCATTTTCCCTGACCGGGCTCGCTTTTTGACAATATCCCTGACAATTCCCCGACCTTTTTCTGCAATTAAAATTTCCATGACAATTCCCGGTTTTCTCGGTCGCTAGACACCCTGTCTTTTGGGAGTACTGTGGAGTAGTGGACCAAACGACCAAGAACCCGTGATGCAGAAAGTAGCATTTGTAAAGTAGCACCTTGGCAAGCTTCGAAGGAAAGCATTCGTTTAGCTTGACGGCGATTTGCAACCAGAATGTGATGTAGGCAAAAGCCTGCACAAGCGGACAATGTAATTTCGTACATCGCAGCAAATGTAGGATGGGAGTCGCGCCCATTGGTGGAAAGAGGAGCCAAGCCCCGCAACCCATCATACGCTCAAAAAAGGCGTCGGCAGTACCTCGACAGCTATTCTCCGCAAAGGCAAAAGACACTTCCCTTCATTACCGAGTAAAGCGTCACGAACGACTTTACAGCACGTAGAGCATACAAAACTGTCTTCTTTCGCTCCTGCTCAGCCTAAGCTTCCGAATCGCATAACGGCGAAAACGTGGGCTTCTTTCAGGTCGAGCCGCCCTCTCCTAATACGGTCTCAGGTGCTGAAACGCCGCGAAGGCGAAGAACGCCAACCCCGTCACTTGAGTTTCCTCAACTTGCAACCGGGCCACAGTGGATGGAACACATCCAAAAGTGGTGCATTGAGCATCCTACACGAGCCCATGCGTCAAAAGTGGCCCCGATACGGAAACGAAGGACGTCCTGGGAGCCAGTGCGTCACATTGTCGCACATCACGATCTCTGCAGTTAATCTCAGAACTTCACGACAAAAAGCACGAGACACAAGTGGCATTGTCGCCCTGGCGTCCCAATAGACCCTTTCCGAAATTGTGAAATGACGCATAGATTATGCGCAGCCGCCATTACCGTATTTACTCGAGCAACAGCCACACTATTTAGGAACAAGTCCGTTGTGTCTACTTTACCGCAAAGCACATATACAGCCAATCATCGCGTTGCGCATAGATAACATAGCGAATAACAAAATCAAGAGCACGAGTCTCCATACAAATGCAACCTTCACAGATGGTATCTTCGCGTGAAGACGTTATCTCTGTCCTGTAAACAGTTGGAATCATGCTGTAGATCACAGTGATTGGCAATCCGCGTGCTCCGCGGAAATGCGAACCCTCAGGTTTTGTTCATAATTGGTGCGGCTATTACTCGAGTAAATGTGGCAGTTGGTCTAGTCGCTTCCAGCGTGCGAAGCCCGTGATTGGTTCTGAGTTTCCGCCGAGCACCAACGCAGCACTTGTGTGGAATGCGTTTCGATCTGAACACACTCTGAATGCCGACAAAGCGCTCGCATCCAATGCGTGCTCTCGGTGCAGGACCAAATAATGGCAGCCGCACCACATAATCTATGCATCATTTTGAAATTACGAAAAGAGTCTATTTATGGCTGCCAAAGCTTCCGTAGACCGCCAGGCCGGAGAGCGACCTACGACAGACCCGGCGTCTGCCACATTCCCCGCCGCCGCCGTGACATTGCCAGGATCGCAACCAGCTACGCCGTCACACTTTTTGACACCTTTCAAGCGGAAACCGAGGGACCACTTTTTCGGACGCGCTAAACGTGCCGGTCTGAGCCGCATTCGAGGCACTGTAGACGAGAGCAGAACTGTAGACGAGAGCAGACCTGTCTATCGTGGCAGAAGGACCCGAGAAAAGTCGACGGAGCAAGCGAGACTCACTCTGAGAGACGCCCTGCCCCCTGTTGACAAGCTGGTTGACGCTGGCCCCGCCGGCCGCGTTGTAGGGGAGCCCCAGGGCCGCGTACGCCCGCTGCATGTCCGCGGGAGCCGGGCTCTGGCTGGGCTGCGTGGGCTGCACCGCCGCACCTGCGCAACAAACCGGCCAATTCAATATCCAGGGCACTAGGAACGTGATGGGCTCGTTGACTCCAAGATCAGATAATTCTGACTTCTGCCTAGTTTGTGCAGGTCTTAAGTGCTTAGTTGGATGGATGTTATTTCGGTATACTTTTTAAATCATGCAGTTTGTGCACGAAGTTTGAACGATTCCTGCATCTTGCAATCTTTAGGGGATTTCTCGAAGCCACGAGAGTAAACCCCGGTTTTAAGTCAGATTGGCAGCATTAGGAACGAGCCGTAAGGGGTAAGAATGATCTTCTCAAAGAATCAGGGCAGTTCGGCAGCCACTCCCGCCGCTGGCGCATCCGCAGCCACAAGGCAATAATTTTCATTCTGCTGTTTCGAGGTAAGAGTCAATGGTTAAAAACTATTTGCAGCCCTACTACGGGACCTAGGCATGCAGATATACGGCTAGTTTTATTTCCACGACTGTGCTGTTTTCTGCACCAAGTTACTTTTATAATAAATGCTTCCCACTTTTTCCAGATAATTCTAACAAAAATTGATTGATCCCTTCAAACTTTAATTCCAAAGGAAACATATCTATCAGCAGCATTTTATGCAGGCCAACGACACGATGAGGCATGAACGGCTTCTTTGCATGCTCCCTTGTGCAAGGCACAGACAAATCGAAGATTGTGAGCTCACCGGCTTGCTGCTGCCGCCTGTCCGAGGCCTGCTTGAGCGGTAGACAGACCGGGCAGTCGTTGCGGGTGCAGTTCTTCCAGTGCGAGATGATCTGCCGAGAGGAGGCGCAGTGGGGCACTGGGCATGTCTTGCCCGCCTGGCAGTTGGTCATGTGGTTCAGCACGTTCTTCATCGTACGGCAGTGAGGAAGCGAGCACTGGCGCACCTGCGGCGTGCGCAAAACGCAAAGGGAGCACAAAACGCTGTCATACATCTGCGTTGCACCCACAACCGTCACAGCAGCAACGGGGCTAGGCAGTCTTCCAACACATAGCTACCTTCATCAAGCACTCAAAAGTAAAGTGCTTGCCCTACATGGATGCAGTTGAGCTCTTTCGTCCCCAGCATAGTTATAAAGCAATGCATGCCTAACTTTTTTTTTTCTTTTTTGATGCGCACCGGATATTTACAAATGTCATTAGAGCTAGGCAGAAGCATGCCTTTCTTTAAAGAAATAACAAAACAAGATGCTGACATCTTTCTTCTTCCCATGTTTAATAGAAGGCAAGAAATACAACAGCCCCAGGTGACAGCTGACTCGGCCATGCCCAATAACGACCCCGCCCCAATTGACGGGGGACCGGGCCTGATACCCAGGGCAAAGCCAAGGCGTGATACAACAGTACCAAACCAACCTATGAACTCATGCTTGCAGCTTCCTCAGATTTGGTAAAAAGTACACACTCCTCAAACACGATGGGCTCGCCTTTGTAAATAAGTCAAGAACCAAAACAAAAAAAAACAAAAAAAGAAACGGCCCCCTCACCTCTCCATTGGCCGCCTGGGACTCCCGCCGCTGACACTTGTGCGCGTGAAGCAAGAGCACGAGCTGCTGCTGAATCAGCTTGCGCTTCTCCGGGTCGGCCGTCGAGGGCGCTGCCGCGCCGAGGGGAGGAGCTACCCCGGCCCCGGGCGACGGGTGGCCTGGTCCTTGCTGCTGGGGTGGGGCGGGAGGTCCGCCCCCAGGGGGTGCCCCTTGAGGCCCTGGGGGCTGGCCCTGCTGCTGCTGGCCCAAGGAGGAGCCCAGGGGACTCTGCTGGCCGTGCTGCAGAGCACAAAACCGAGCAACCTCTAGGGCGAATGCTGATAGAATACGCTTTGGACTCGGGCAAACAGCAAGGGTCCGTCTTCCGGGGGCAACGTCGAAATCGGCTACTGATGTTTGACTAAATGGCAGGTTCTTTTGGCAAAAATATCGACCATCACATCTCCTTCATTCAAAAGTCAAAAATAAAAAGTTTCCCTCACAAGCACTACATCGCTTACAACCAGACTGATTCTAGTTCTTGTACCATTGTCCTTTGTGAAACCATTGCACAAAAAGAAGCTATAGGACCTTATATTTTAGAAAGCGATTTTGGACTATTTGTTGCGCAGCGCGACAAACTTTCCGAGCAAGCGTTGCTAAGCTAGAGACCTAGAAGGAGGGGAAGAATAACAGAAAGTCACTCACGTTCTGCAGCTGAGAGGAGTCCACGGCCGCACTGGGGTACCGGGGTGGTATTCCCATCATGCTGCCCCCCAGGCCCGGGACCAGTGGCCTCTGCTGCGGTGGTCCACCCAGAGATCCCATGACCTGGCCGTAGCCCCCGTGGAAACCGGCGTTCGCCTGGCCCATCAACCCTCCGGGACCCTGTTGCCACACCAAAGCGAGAAGACACGACGGCTAAGCGAGGCGAACAGTCTCGCGAGTACCACATTTTTTCAACTATGGTCCGCGCATTATGGCAATTCAAATGCTCAAATTTTGCACAGTGCAGACTATTTATAGGTGCAGCCTAACAAGGATTTGTGTTTTCGAAACCGTTCGTTATAAGACTTGAGAAGTTTTGTGAACGACAAACTATGTCAATAATGATTACCATACAAGCTTTTTCATACACTAATAAAGCAGGCAATTCTCAAAGCACTGTGTAGCATCTTCTTACATGCAGAATATGCACCAAATGCGAACTACAAACAAAATTCTATCCATGTGAAAAAAAAAAAAAAATTTTTTTAGTTGATCTTTGTTTTTGCATTGTCGACTCCAGCGAAAATGAGGCCGCATAACGGCAACGCTAAGAAGCTCAATAGAGGAGGTCGTTTTGACTCTGTCGTCTGCTATCGCTGCTTGGTTTTCATAGGCAGTATAGAAACAAACCTTGTTTCCAGTAATTTTTTTGCTTCCGCCGTGTCATTCCTATGCACTGACTAGAAGGTTTCAACCGTCGAAAAATCACTTTGCTTTCATATGCAACACCGATTTTACGCTGCAGTGCAAGAAATTTATGGTGGTCCGCGTGCTGAACGACGAAAACGACCTCGTTTCGTCCGCCATTTCGCCTGACTAGCAAGCACCCTACAGTTCACTTGAGTAGCAAATATGCTGAATGTCGACCAAAGTGCACACATTCTCTGTTGCCGACACTCTCTGCCATGAGTTTGCAATGGTGCAACCAACTAGCAAGGTCAACCAACTAGCAAGGCTCATGCAGGGTTTCTATATAAGGCTACCGCTTTAGAACGGGGACGCCACCACCGCGGAAACCGTCCCGAAAGCAGAGAGGGAGAGGCACGCACCTTGACTCCAGGGCCCACCATCCCCGACTGGGGACCCTGATGCGGGGAGTTGGGGCCACCGGCCGCCAGTAGCCCCGCCATAGATGCACGCACCCCCATGGCTGCCTGGGCGGCCCCCAGCTGCGGAGGGCCGTTCAGCAGGGGGCCCGAGGAGCTCACCACCAGGCCCAGCTGCTTGGGCAGCTCCTTCGGGCCGGGGCTGCCATGGTTGGCCGCCACCCCCTTGCTCTGTAGCAGCTGAGAGAGCTGCTGGTGCTGCCGCTGGTTGGCCGCAGCCGCCGCCGCCACTGCCGCCGCAGCCTGCGCTGCCGACGTCGACACCGTGTCCTCGACGCTCGTTGTGCCGTTCTGCTGTGCGTTCTGCGAGGGCGGGCCCAGGTCGCCGAGCGAGGGGCCTCCGCCGGAGCCCATCAGCTCCTCTGGGAGCTCGTTCTCCAAGGCCCAGAGGCTGCTGAAGTCTGGGGAGAGACGCACGACGGTCAGCGCAACTGAAGAGACGACGCCGAAGGTTGCGCTCCGCAACAACGAAGGCCCACGTGCCATTGAGCAAGCTACATGCCGGCACGCTTTTCACAAACAAGCCTGCATTTGCCCTCACCAAGTGTGGGCACTGCACGTGCAAAAAACCCAGATTCGCACGAGGAAAAGCGTCCGAGTATGCGCCGTGCCTACAGCAATGCCACTACGGCGTCGTGACGTTGGAGCGAAGCGCTGGTCTATACACGGGAACAGACAAAACGACGAATGATGCGTCGGGACAATTCTAGTTTTAAAATGACAGCTTTTTGGGCAACCCTTTGCAGAGATTTTGACCTTGTCTGTTGATGTCGTCGTCGCTACAGAGAAACCCTTCTCTCCGCTGTGGCACGAGGCCAAGGAAGTTGGCTTTCCCCGTCGGCCGCGCAGCGCAGAGCCCCGGCATCCCGCCAGTAACGACGCGACGAAAGGAGGGTGTGCCGTGTCGTCTGCTTGAAAGACATGTTTTCAAACATTACTCGTGTTATGCAAAATCCGACTTTGGCAGTATCCAGTTGCTACACGTTATGTTGGTGATTTTAGAAACTTCCACCGCGCTTACCCAATTACTTCACAGATTGCCGAGCACTGGAGGCGGTTGACGGTGGCATCCATGACGGCTGAGAATTAACCATGCCACACCTCTGTCCTCAGGTATGTGACGGCACCATTCCACCCGCATTGCGCTACCGTGCTATAGCTGTCGTTTTCGTTTCTTCGCACATTGTGGGCGAATAATGCTACTTTTTTCGTTTAAACGATCAACCAATCGATGGCATGTCTAGAATATAGTCACGGACAAGACGGGAATGGCAAGGAGGCGGCCTTTCAGTTGTCACAGCTTCGTTACAAGCTTCATACATTCAATAACGCTTCGGCATCTTGCGAGCCTAGAGAGTGCACGTGCAACTGAAATATGATGCAAGGCGATGAGCGGGTGCTGGAGGCGAAAGACACACCGTGCCGTTCTCAACACGTTGGTGACTATGGAGTTGTCGCACCATTTTCTAGCTCTTGTCATATCTGTGACAGGAGAGAAGCCATCCCTCCTGTCAATTTCTGCAGCTTTTCGTGCAGAATTGTAGCGTGCAACACAATTCTGAAGCTGTTACAGCATATTCGTTGCACAACAGGACACGTGAGGATTTCTTTTTCTCATCACCTTGATTCCCTGTGTGGTTTTCAAACCTGTGCTCGTGCCTAATTTTATTTGGCGTAAACTAAACCAATACACTTCCACGAGGAGCTTAATTTTTTTTTTTTTTTTTCCCGATAAAGTTTTTGAATTTATCAAATCTCTAATCGAGTCGGCTGAATGAACGAATGCAAGAAGCCGCAGGGCAGAACCACCACCGAGGCCAAGTACAGTGGCAGCGTTCTGAAGGGCATGCACGGGCAAGAGTGCTCAGGATGCTTCTTCCAGGATGATGCAATCTTACAACATGCATCCTAGGAGAGAACCGAATTTACCTTCAGATTAACGTGCTGCATCGCCGTTACACTGCATTAACTAAAACGGTTTCGAAGATACTATGCTCCTGTGCTACCTCGCAACTTTCCACACTCGTGTCCGACGGCCTGTGGCCAGCCGCACACGCCTTCAGATTTCTGGCTGCCAACAAAAAGCGGCCTCAACACATCTTGACACACGGTCGACCCATCAACATGTCAACGGCAAGATACGAGAGATTACGGGGCAAAATCATGCTCATGCAATGCAGGACACCTATGCAAAGCACAAACCACATGACATGGTCCAATGCTCCACTCCCTATTGCACTCGCCAGTGCATGGTAAAGAATCTTAAGCTAAGCCGAGTGACATCCTACTCTGCGCAACTCATCAATCGCAACGAACCAATGAGAGACTCTGACAACACACTTTGTGCAACACCTGACACAGACTCCCTTGACCGTAAAGCTGCAACTGTCATGCTTGACAACTGTCAAGCTGCAGTGCAATGACAAGACGCCTCACACCAAACACTTTGGAAGCAACGCTTATCAACACGTGCTACACTACGGCTCAAATGCATGCTATGAAATGCCTCTGATTACTATGACAAGCTTCAGCCTAGAACGTTAACCAATGGCACCAGCAGCAAGTATCCGAGCCTCCATTTATACGCTTCTGGCAATGCCAGCACCTGTCGATGAGAGTGAATGCATGCACAGGAAGCACTACTTGCAGGTTCGATGCACTGGACACAGTTCTAGCAGGAGCATAGTGGCACCGGCTCACAACATATTTCTGGTTTGCTTAGTTCACCTGTGTGCTCTGATCAGAGCCTCTCAAAACTCACGAGAGACGCACACATGCCTGAAATGTGCACTGCAATGATGAGCATTCAAGAGAGTAATATACACGGACGAGGACCACCACCAGAGCGCCAAAACACACATGACTCGGTCCACCTACACATGCCAAGAAATAACAGAAAACATAGCGACCGGTGACGCAACACGAGAGTTGGCACTATTTCGCATCGACACCAGAGTTTTACAATAAGCGCTTTTCAAGGCAATGCGTGTTCAACCGTCAGCTTGACCTACGAAACAAGGAGCTCGTAAAGTGTTTCTTCGTTCCAGAAAACACATCTCACTGTAGAAGGACCAGGTACCGATACGGAACGCGGAAGAAGATCACAGTGCTAACGACCACTAGTTAGACGCGAAATCCTCGCCATCCCGCTCAGCCTCCAGAGATGGAAGACGCTGGTGACAGGTCGGCGCTTTGGTAAAGGCATCGACACGAAGAGCCGCATCTCGAAAGAAATTCGGCTCCATCACCGCCGCGATCACTGCCCGAAACACCATTTTTCGAACTCGCTTGGGACCGGAGTTTAATTTTGTACGGCCGAAAACGCGGCGACATGGAAGCGCTGGCACCCGACAAGCTCGCTGCTCTTAAAATGACGGAGGGAGCAACGGCGCCGAAAGTTCGCGGCAGTTTCACGAGTACGGGTCGCGCTATCGACGACGCAGCGCGTCGGAAACCTCGAGTACGGCTCCCACCCGGGTCCACGCGGCTTTAGTCCTCAATATTGAGGCCGAACTGGGGAAAATTCAGCCTCCCGAGCCGAGGATCGGGCGATTTTGAGTTGCAATTAGGGTTAGCGGTCCCAGGCCAACCCCGCTCTCAGCTCGGTCGGCGGGCAAGGTGCACTGGCGAGCGCGGAAACACTCGCGGTCCTTCTCGGAAACATCGGGCTCCGATCCCGGTCGTATTATTTTTGGAGAAGAGAAAAACTGACAAAATCCAAAACGTCCCGCCGCAAAAGGTTGAGGCCCAGACACGGGCAGCGCGATTTGAACGCAAGCGGGTTGGCCGATGCTACGGGAAAGTCGGGCACGGGGAAAATCTGTCGGCCCCACGACGCTGTGCGAGTCGGCCGAGCGCTCTAAACGCACGGAGAAACCAGGCTTTTCATGCGGCGACGTCAAACGGACAGTAGGTCCGGTCGTTCGGGGCCCAAACACACAGTATCGAGGCTCAATTTAAGCTCCGGAGCGCGGGATGCGGTCCAAAACATGGGCCGACCCAGCGACACGGGAGCAGCGAAACAGCGATCCCAAGAGCACGATCACGGTTAGACGGACCCGGGCCGAGCAGCCGGGGATGGACGGGCGTAGGACGTGAAAAAGAGTTGCACTCACCAGCGCTATCCGACGAGAGGCCCGCTTCTGACAACTTCTGTCGCTTCGTCGGCGGTCCGTCGACAAGATGGTCAGCCATGTTGATAAGCCTAAACCACTGATGCCCTATGCGCTCAAGAATGGGGAAAGATTATCAAGAATTTAAACCCTCGACATACCAATACACTTTTAGGAGATCTGATGGTCCGACACGCGCACAAATATATGGTTGCACAGTCCGATTTTCTTCTTCATGGTCAAGGCACGGATAGAGTCTCTTCATGACGGTGTTCTACGGCATCGTACTAGCCCATCAAAACTTCAACGCTCCGCGACTGCCCAGGCAAGCATTGCCGAGCATCGAGCCGTCGGGAGCTGCAATCCCACGGCGAACGGAGTTCAATCTCTTACCGGAGCTACTCCATGAAGGTTGAGTGTGAACAGTCGCCTCAAAAACGGCCACTGGGACGAAAAAAGAAGCCAAATTTCGGCGGAGAACACCTCAAATTTTGGACCCCTTATTCATCCAAAATGGCGGCTGTTGATGAAAAGTTTTTCTACGCTTGTAAGAGAAAACAACGAAGATTGCCGAGCAAACATTGCCGAGAGAACAGACAGAGCCGATTGGCTGAGTCGGAGCACGTGACCCAACTAGTACGCCACCATTGGCTGACTTTGGTCGACTCGCAGTAATGGCATCCCGAACACAGACCGAGCGAGTTCCGAGCACGCTCCGAAGCCTCTCCGAATGTTTTAAGGCGCGATGAATTATGGGATGGCCGTATTCCCAGCTTGCAATGCGCGCGGCTCAGATTTTTTCTTTGGATTGCTCTCTGTCTGCGAGGTGTGTGTCTGTATTGCTTTTTGTTTCGTCGCAAAACACGATTTTGCTCGCGGACAAATGGAAGGCTGAGTATAAACCCCATTAAATAATTCCTTCACTCGAATTATTTCTCCTCATACATTCGAGCAAATCTGAAATAACGGGAGAAGCGCCTCCGTCTACCGGTGGCGATCCAACGAACCGCGTCAGTCGGCTGGCTGCGACAGCCTTAAAAAAATATATAAAAAACAAAAAAAAAAAAAAACGAGAACGCGCTCTTGTCATTTTATTCACGTAATAAACAATTCTACTGCCGCCTATTTTTCGTATTTTAAGTTCGGAGACGAATCGGCTGAAATCTGCACGTTAGAACTGCACGTCTATGCGTTCGCCGGTTGCGGGAGCGATCGGGTCCCTGCGGTGGAAATCTCAGCTGGTCTATCAGCTGATCGCCAATTTGGCTCTCCGCAGCAGAAAAGTCATGTCTACGCTACCTCCTGCGTACCCTAAACAGTGCACCGAACGCGTGCGCAAGCTTGTGCAGACACGGGTAGATACTGGAATGTCCGTTGGAGACAAGTAGGTCGGGATTTCAGGGTGCCCGAGTTTTGAGGCGAGGCACTAAAATGGGAAGGGACTCGGATCGTAGTACGCCTTGCGTCGTCCAACTGTCATATGCGTTTCCACTACGTCTTTGGGTTTCGTTTCTTGCGAGTGTATTTGCCCGTGCTACACCCCGAATTTTTAAAAGAATATATGTTCAGTAAAGCCTATTACGTGATTACAAACGGAGCCTCGACGGGGCGAAATTGAGTTCCGTGGTTGTTTTGTGCAAGAGATGTACGACAGCAACGCTATGCTGGCTGGCTGCACTTACGTCGGTCACACCGCTTTCTTAAGGCTATCTGTTAGTACAGTGTACAGTTACTCAAGAACTCGTAAATTCAAGAAATTCTATCGAATTTTAGCGTATTTATATATAAAGTTTTTTTATTGCATTTATCGAAAACTTTGCTAGCTAAATTTAAAAAAAAAAAGGGTCTGTTCTTTTTTTTTTTTTTAACTGCATGAACAATACTAACTGCTGTCTAGCTTTTCCTAAAATGATATTTCCTCGATAGCTTAAGCCACCCCAAGGATTACTTGTATCGATCAAACACACATATATATATGCATTCGATATGCATACGTTTAATGGTCTCCATTGCTTTCATATCAGATCAAATTGCAGCCCATTTGCATTCTCGAACACCTTCCAGCACTCACTACACAGGCAAAAAATGCTGAGTCACTGGGCTGTGGACAAACTCCCGCAAAAAAAGTGGTATACTCCGCATGCTCAGAATCGCAGCCTGGTAAACAAATATGTGGTGGCAATCAGTTTGTCGAATGATGGATCATCGACAGATTGTCTCATCAGCACTGCGACATTTCATCATCACCGCAACGTTTCATCGGCAATGTGTAATGTTTCATCGACAGTTCATTTCATTTGTTTGTTTGTTCGTCGACACTTTGCAATGTTTTGTCGAAGGCCTATTTCCGCGCACATTGACTCGGCTGTTGGCATCAAGATGATAGCTTATAGCTTGTCGAACCCTTGGTAGTTCCGACAAAGCCATGATGCCAGCTCGGACCAGAGACCATTTTCCTCGAGCATAGCAGAGCAAAGCGAGGTCGGTTTAAAACCTAGGTTTAGGGCTCACGAAAAATTTGTTTTTGCTCTATCAATCGAAGCTGCCTGGTTGGCTCTGTTATAGCACCGGTATACTTTCAGAAAATGCAATCATGCCAGTAATCAAATCCAATCCACTCGGTAAGAAAGAAATAGCCTGTTAACAAAATATTGCAGGAACAAATACATGTCCACAAAAGCTCAGTGTCGACAAAATGTGTGTCCATGAAACACGTTTCCATGAAACGTGTTTCGGCAAAATACTATAAGGACCCACAAATATGTAGCAGTGTGCAGAAGCAATTACTGGAATGTCTGTAGCTAGCTCTGCACCATCTTCTTTCTGAGACGAGGGTGGACAGAAAAACAAGAGCATGCACAGACCAGCTCTTGTTCTTACTTGTCTAGGCAATTTATTTCCCAACTCTTCGAGTCCACGCCGACGCAGCCCTCACGATGGCGGATTTGAATAACTGCCAAAGCAGCTGCTAGATGACGCGCATTTTTTAAAAGTGTCCATCACTGCCACGCAGAGCGCATGAGCAGATCGATGTTCCACGGTCATTGTGGCACACGGGCAACGGGTAGAATTAGCGAAAATTAATACGTGCGAGGGAGCAGCGCTCGAGGTAAAACGATCACTAAAGCACGTGCTCACGGAACGGTACAATAGCAGCTCACCTTAACTCAAAAAGCATTTCTTCCGACAAATCCAAAACCCTGAAATCGAAAAAAAAAAGCCAAAAACTATGGTTTTACGTGGATGTGGGTTTGCGTGGCCTTTGTCGATGACAATGGTGTCCTCGCACCTGACGTCGACACAAAGAGGAGCAGGCCACATCAATTGTGTTGCAACGTACGCCATCATTCTTTGGAAGACTGATGGCAGAGTTGATGCCTAGGGAGAATCGAAGTCTCCACCCACTTTGCTGGAAAATATCTGCTCTGGGGCGTCCGGGTTGGTTGCAGGTAAAGAAAAGAGGGACAAGCCCTTCCCACGAAGCTTCCTACCAGCCCCTCCAGCATCACTCTGCTAAAGTGGAAAGAGTAAAGTGCTTTCTGGAAGGAGCTTGTCCTGCTTTTTTTTTTACCTGCATCAGACTAAGGGTATACCTCAGCTGTGCAAGCGGTAACTGGCCATTAGTATTCACCTTCCAAAGTACCAAGCACACGAGTAATGTACGATGTCTGAAGTCACCAGGCTCGATCTAGAACGGACCGTAAAAATCGGCGCCCGCACGTGGCAATCTAACCTGGCCCTATTTTTTACAGAAATGGAGCTACGCTTTGTAAATTTGCAAGTAAAAATCGACCAGCAAAATACACCTTTGGCAAAAAGTTTAGATTGCTACGTGCAGGAGCCGATTTTTACGGCCCATTTTGGATCGAGCCTGGTTATTTCTGCCACCCTATATGTATCTGCTATACTGTACCCTTCAAATTTTACCCTCTCTAAGGCACATTGAAAAGGGTCCTCCATCAATTTAGAGCGCAGCTCTTAGGCCCCGGTCTCCGGCTTGAGCAGCGTCGCCGTCGGCGTTGGCGTACCTGCGCATTGTATTATGGGACGTTTCTCATAATGATGCCACATGTGATGTCACATGTGATGTGTTGAGGGAGGAGGCGGAGGGGGAGAGAATTTCTTCCGCTAAATATAGCAGAAAAAATTCCTTGCTAGGTTTAGCGAAAAAATTTTCCCGCTAAATTTGGCCGGACATTTTTTCCGCTGAATTTAGCGGGAAATGTAGCGAAAATTTCCCGCTAAATGGGAGGGGAGAGGAGGAGTGTACCCTACCCTCCTAACCCTCCTCTCCAAGAGCTGCACTCCAATTCGGCATTACAGGGAGTTGTAAACATCTTAAATATTTTTCTTCAATAAAGCAGTAGTAAAACTGGAACATTATTACTGCAGTCATTTTAACTTAGACACCTCAGTTCCCCCAAGATATTCTCCGTAATGCAAGTCGTTCATAATAATGAAACAAATATGCACGTGTTTACTCAGTTCGTAACCCCCAATATGTCACCTTTATAGTGGGCCATCCATATTAACTAGACATAACTGTATGTTATCATTATCTTATACACATGCAGTACCAGCATTGCATGCTTACTACGCTCTCGCTGGAAAGAAAGAGCATGGTGGCAAACACGTATCGCTGCTACATACTCGGGGGCACTGGTACAGTTAACATCGTTACGCTCAGCCTGTTGCTACTTAAGTATTGGGAGGAGAAGCACTGCTTCGATATTCCCGGAGAAATGACATCCCCATGCCACTCGGTACAATTACACACCCTTTTCCCGTCGTCAAGAAAAGGGTCGTCACAAATATTGTGTATGGACCACATTTTAGGGGCGACTGAATACGAAAACGAGAGAGACGTGCAAGACAATGCAGATGACACAGGTTGAATCGTCGTCTGTGTAGTCTTCGTGTCACCTGTATCTTCTAACGTGTCCCTTTTTTTATTTCTATTTTCGGCGGTCATTACTTAAGGTCGCTGCCCTGCATAATGCTCAGTGCAATTCAGGTCACATTGAACGGTGCTTTCTTTGCAGCAACAGCTGTTATTGGCTAACTCCCCCTCCTCCTCCTCTTCCTCCCCCCCCTCCCCCTCCCCTTTTGGAATGATGTAGCTATGGCTGTCGGACATCCGTCGTCGATGTCGCCAATTGCTCGAAAAGGAAAATCTCAGACACCCACCCGCTGTTTTCTCCAGATTCGATCGTGACTGTCAATTGTGAAGTGAGCGTGCTACCACAAATCCATGCCAGCTGCTCCAACTCGCTGCCAAATAAACAGCTCAACGAGCTTTCAGCCCCCTTATCAAGGACACAAAGAAGTGTTTAAAAAAGTAAAAAAGGGCATATTCTGCAAACTGCATCAACACACGGTATCATTCTAAAAAACATACAATAAAGTTCGGGAAATAAAATGGTTTCTATATTTTTTTTTCCCCATCTAGACAATTCAAGAAGTTAAGAAGCGTAAACATTAGCATTTGATATCCGTGGTTATTTTAACCTATAGAAACTTTCCAGCAGCCTGCATGACAAGTGAAATAGACAGGCATAGAACTCTGTAGGGAGGCTAATTCAGCCAAAAGTTAATCTTCATAATGGTGCAGATTTAAAACAATTATTAAGCTCGTAGTTGTATAGTTCTTTTTAATATTAAGCACTCGAAGGCATTCAAATAGCTGTTTGATATGAGAATAATACGAAATGCCCAAAATTATTCTGAAAATTTGTTTTCTGCGATATAGCGTTTTTAAGCTTGTAAAAGTCGTAGTGCCCCGAACTAGGTGGCAGTAAGTAGCTGTATACTAAAATTTTGACACTGGTTGGGAGTAGAGACTTATGACAACACATTCATCCTATTACACGCAATAACTCATAGCTAACATGGTATATATGGTCATCCCATAATAAGTTTTTGGTAAAAATATCGCCTAGAGTATTAAAACAACTGACAATTTCTATCGGTCATGAATTTAACACAGTGCCTTCGACCAAGACAACAGTTTTTATTCTTCGTCCGAAAAGGTATTGCAACGTGTCCGAGGGCGTGCATGCCGCCTGTAGAAGGCCTGCGTCAGCGGTAGACAGACCGGGCAGTCGTAGTGGGTGCAGCTCCTCCAGTGCGAGATGATCCGCCGAGAGGAGGAGCAGTAAGGCACTGGGCACGTCTCGCCCGCCTGGCAGTTGGTCATGTGGTTCAGCACATTCTTCATCGTCCGGCAGTAAGGAAGCGAGCACTGGCGTACCTGCGGCATGTGCAAAACGCAAAGGGAGGAAGCACAAAGTGCCGTCGTGCATCTGCATTGCGCCAACAATCGTGAGAGTGGAGACGGGTCTCGGTAGTGTTCCCACATACCTTCCTCGAGCATTTAAAAGTAAGGTGCTTGCCCAACGCAGTTGAACCCTTTCAGGGCCAGCATAGCTAGAAAACAATGCCTGTGTAACCTTTATTATTTTTTTTTTCTAGGCGGATTTGATATTTACAATTGTAATTAGAGCTGGGCAGAAGCACATCTTTCCCCAAAGAAATAACAAACAAGATGCTGATGTCGTTCTTCACAGTTTTAATAGAAGATGAACAAATTGGGAGCCATTCCACTCTCACTCTATGAAGGTGGATGACCAGCAAAGCTGTTTAGCACACGACACAGATGTGACACAGAATTTTGAACAAAGTTACCAACAAATTTATTGTATTGATCGGTGGTCATCGTGACAAAAAGGTATGCACACACACGTGCCGCCCGCCGCCAACATTCTCGTTGCCGTTCCCGCCGTTGCACTTTGTAGGTGCGTTGCTCTTTGGGAGTCCGGACTATACGCAGCCTCCCCATTAAGACGAGAGAAGAGAAGTGAAATTGAAAATGGAGAACGGCACCTTGTCTTTCTGGTTTTTTACATACATGGGACCATCACCTGGCAGAAAGTAGACACGCACGACGGGACCACCACCCCGGGAGAACGGAAGGAAAGGAAACTAGGGACGCAAGCGCTTGGAACGACGACAAAGAGAGGGCGGTACGAGCATAGAGTTTGTGGTCACGCACACGAAAATTGCTAAATTACCCAAGCTTCAAGAAGAATGCAGGGAATGGTGTTCCAAGTGCCGCACGCGCACGTCTTCCCCGTATAAAAAGATTTGAAGTAAAACAAAGCGGTGATGAGTGTGCGTGCAAGATGCCATTTATTTTAGGCTTTAATTTGCTTTAGAACAGTTACCGCTGCAGATGCGGACATGTGTGGCGCAGAGGTGTGATGCTGTGCGAGCGTAGAGTTTTCGGTCACGCACACAAAAATCCACGAAACCCTAGCCACCCCCCCAAGCAGCTTCGCTGTACAAACATACAGCAGCCCTCGGAGACAGGTGACCCGGTCACAAGCAACGAGCGACCCTGGCCCCGGACTGATGGATGACCCGAATCAAATTGACAGGGGACCCAACCCCAATTGACGGGGGACCCGGCCCAATTCCTGGGGCAAAGCCAAGGCTTGATACAGGAGCATCAAATCAGCCTATGAATTTGTGCTTGCAGCATTCCCAGAATTGGTGAAAAGCACACACCCCTCGAACATGCCAGGCTCATCTTTGTAAATCAAAATGTCAAAAACCAATACAAAAAAAGAAACGGCCCCCTCACCTCTCCATTGGCCGCCAGCAACTCCCGCCGCTGACACTTGTCCGCGTGGAGCAAGAGCACGAGCTGCTGCTGAATCAGCTTTCGCTTCTCTGGGTCGGGCGTCGAAGCTGCCACCGCTGCGCTGAGGGGAGGAGCTACCCCTGCCCCGGGCAACAGGTGGCCTGGCCCTTGCAGCTGGGGCAGGGCGGGAGGTCCGCCCCCAGGGGGCGCCCCTTGAGGCCTTGGGGGCTGGCCCTGCTGCCGCTGACCCAGGGAAAAATCCAGGGGACTCTGCTGACCGTGCTGCGGATGACAGAACCCAAATGGTCAGGCCCGAGCAACCTCTAGGCCAAGAGACAAGAGAATACGCTTAGGACCCGGGCAGACGGCAAAAGCCGGTCTTCCGGAGGCAACGTCGAAATGGGCCCCTGAGGTTCGACTCAAGGGCAGAATGTTTTGGTAAAAATATCAACCATCACATATTCCTCACTCAAAGGTCAGAAACAAAAACAGAGCTTCTCTCACGAACCCCAATGTTGTTTACCACTGGGGCATCAAGAAAAATTCAGAAACCATTGCAGAAAAAAGCTGTAGGACCATGTACTTTAGAAAACAACGTGTGCGCAGCACGGCAAAGTTTCCGGGCAGGCATTTCCAATCTAGAAGCCTAGAAAGAGGAGAGAACAACAGAAAGTCGCTCACATTCTGCAGTTGCTGCACGTTCTGCAAGGGCGGGCCCATGTCGCCGAGCGAGGGGCCTCCACCGGAGACCATCAGCTCATCTGGAAGCTTGTTCTCCATGGCGCAGAGGTTGCTCGAGTCTGGGGGGAGACAGACGATGGTCAGCGGAACCGCTTGAGACGACGGCGACAGCTGTGCTCCGCAGCCACAAAGGGCTATGTGCCACCAAACAAGCTAATTCTTTTTATACATACTTTTAGGTTTGTTAGGCATTGAAGAGGCAATTGACTGGTACACATCAACATAGAACAAAAACTCGAGGGTAAAAAAATGGTCCTAATTAATACACAGTAAGACACAATACCTATGAAATGGTTAGTCGATTATATTACGAACGGCGGTTTGAAATAAATAGACATTGCGAATTGTTGCAACTTGAAAGGGAAGGCGGTTCCAGTCATTAGAGGTGCCGGGGACGAAAGAATAAAGAAATCGCTGCTGCCGCCAAGCTGATCCTCGAAGATATGTGCCTGCATTTCGCGCAGCGGTTATATATAACGACGCATGGCGAACGCAGCCCCTCGGCACTTTTCCACGGGGTGAACATTCCCAAAAGTACTCTTCTCCCTGGTGCAAGCAGATCAGGTCACTTAGCGTGTGCACGAAGGACGGTGGCCGCACAGGATTAGCTGGTCATAAAGATAGATGGTGCGATGTAAAACCTAGCGACGTGGGGCTAGGGCCTACCTGGCCCGCCACCGGGGTGCCGCAAGGCGGCATGTACAGGTGGCCCAAGGTGGGTTAAAATTTTATAATGAGTCATCCACAGACTGTTGCCAGCCATGAAGCAGCATGATCGGGGGGGGGCGCCAGGGTGGATTGATATGTGCCCCAGTGATACACCCTCCGTGCTCCACTGCGTAACGCCGAAACTGGGGAAATGGGACGTCGCTGGTGATTCTCAGTTGCTAAATATTAGTCACGGCATTTGGCAACACTGGAAATCAGCCGCTATGTGAACGTGACGTCAGGATCGTTCTCGATCAACGAGTACGCAGTCCGAGCGGCACCTACCTCTGTTGCGCTAGCCGTGTAAAGATAGGAGGTAAGCTGATTTTGTTTTAATTCTGTATATGTAATAGTTATCCAGCATATGTAGCAAGAGTTAGTGCATATACCCAAAAGCTAGCGACTGGAAAATCCGTGAACTCGTACGGTGCCATACTCGGCGGCCGCCGCCGTGCGTGCGCTATGCCATACTCGTCGCTTGTATACCCAAAAGCTAGCGACTGGAAAACGAGTGAACTCGTTCGGTGCCGTACTCGGTGGCTGTCGCCGTGTGTGCGGTCTTCCATACTCGTCGCTAGGCCTAAATTGTCATCAGGGCTCCGTGGATGGAGCGGCGTTGCTCTACGCCGCACTGCCAGTGACGTACAGTACTGGGGGCCCTCTCGCTTTCGCGCTGCGGGTCAGTCTGAGACACGAAGCTTTGAGGCTCTCCGGCACGGGCCGCGGCACCCGAACACACGTGTGCTGGGGTGTACACGTCTGTTTTTTCGTTATTTTTTTTCTCGAGCACGTAAAAGCCGAAGTCTAAAGTCCACTCGTCGAACAGCGTTCGCCCACACCTTCTCCAATTTCCGGTCCGTTGGAAACTTTTGAAAAAGCACCTCAGTGTTGCGCAGCGGGTTGTTTGAGCATCCCACAGCGCTACAAGTTGCACTCGCCATCTTTCGAGGAACAGCTGGACAGTCTAGGGCGCACAGAGTTGCTCGCTAAAACGAGTCTTGGAGTTTTCACAAGCAAATAAACAAAAGGCTATACCGAAGATACACGGCTACAGATAAAAGCAACGGTCAAAAACGCCAACCACAAGCCAAAGTAGCAGTGGTAGCACCTCAAAGAAGTGCACTCCGCACAACGCCCGGACCGCAGGAAAAAAAGAGAATGATACTGACGTCACGGCCCAATGTTGCTTTAGCGATTGTCAACCCGCTGGCCGCCCGCTAAGGAGCAGCGGCTCGCGGAGGGTCGCATTTTTATTATCGGCATTAGTTGAGAATGCGGCGTCCCACGGACGTAATATTTTGGCTGGGGTCATATTTTGTGTCACTACAGCGATACCAGTAATTTATTTCATTTTGAGTTTTGGCAGGAGTTGCCCTTTAAGCTTGATGAAACACTGGCCATCATCTATTGGCCCAACAACAGAATTTGTCAGTATAATTTGCACGTTGTGAGCAGGGTTAACAACATTCTAGAATTTTCTAGGGTTGTTCAGTAACATGCTCAGTAAAATGTTGGTAAGAAAACAAGCCTTGGCATTCTTGGCAGCAGTAGTATAAATGGCTCGCACTGACATCACATCAGCCGCCATTGCTCTGTACCATGCTCCTATTTCCGTACCTTCTGCAGCATTAGTTTGGCGCCATCGAATTGGTCTTCTCGGCAAGGATGGCCGAGAAGAGAAATTCAATGGTGTTAAACGTATGCTGCAGAATTGGTACAGAAACAGGAGCATGGAACAGAGCATCGGTGCCACATGACGTCATGTGCAAGGCGTGAATACACACTGCAATCCACTCACAACGATAATAAAAAAAACAAAAATTCAATCGTTATAACCGATTACGTCGTATCTGGGCTAGAAACTCTAGAAACTGATTGTTATAAGCAGTACGTTGTTATAGTATGTGGTATCGTTATATAAGTGGATTGCACTGTACCTGCAGCAATGATACAGTGGTTAGCTATCTTGGTTGCCAGACGTTTTTGCGGAGTGATAGAAGCGTTTTTAATGTGAAAGCATTATAACTATCGCATGGGGCGGAGCCGGCAATGTCTGTAACCGCAAAAAGACGCAAAAGAAATGCCCATTCTACCATTGGCTGAGCAAAACAGCTCCTAGATAGCCATTGGCGGCCGCTTTACAAGAGCGCTCGCTCGGTCGCCCCTCTCGTGTCAGGCGTTGCCAAAGGGGGCCCGGGTGGTGGCATGCAGCCCCTTCTGCAACTCTTGGCGGCGAGGAACATATGCAGGCGCCTAAGGCATCTACGGTGGTGGACGCAACCTCAGCAGTAGCGAAACGTGGCCGTCCACGCCAGTACATTGCAGACGAACTAAGGGAGCGGAAGAATGATAACCATGCTTTCGCGTTAACAAATAATAAGAAGTGCTTAGGCATGGAGAAACATCTAAGGAATGAATTATACCAAGGTACCTGTGAATTATAAGGTATACACAAAGTGGTATGAGACCGTTAACTAGCTTTGCGACCTTACTTTTAAATAACGACCGGTTGCATTCAACTGAGCGCTCTTCAAATCTGTTGAAAAGTGCCAGTAGGAATGAATTAAGTTCTTCATTGATTTGATTGAAGTCAGTTTTGCAATAATTATGTAATACTTCAGTTGTTTTAGGAAACGCCTACAAAGGGGATCGTAAGTGAAAACTTTAACAAAGAATGGTCACTTATTTCTGGCACGTACGTCATTTACGGACATTGTTCAGTGCAATAGTCGGTATATTAAATCCAATATGGTGGCAGTTGAAGCCGCATGTCTCTAGTTCGAAACAATCTAAGAAGGGCAAACGACAAACATAAATCGATGAATTCCCGACAAGCAGATGAAAACGGCTCTGGAGAAGGTGGGGACAACAATCAGTCAATTCCTGGGTCATCGAAATGGTAAACAGCACGACGACACGCCGTTTATGAACAAGCTCGCGCGTTTGCCCGTACCAGATGTGGGCATTGTGCGTGCGCAAAAACCAGACTTGTGCGAGGCAAAGTGTCCGCACATGCACCATGCCGACAGCGGTGCCACCGCACTGCGGCAACGTCGAAGCCACGCGCCGGTTAATACAAGGGGACAGATAAAATGGCGAATCACGGAACCGGGCAATTCCTAGTTTTTCAATCAACGGTCGCCCAAACCGGTGACCACATCTGGATCATAGTCGCGAACAAGACAAGAATGGCAAAGAGGCCCCTCAGTTGTCCCGCCGTTCGGTGCAAGCTTCCTACATCTGGTAACACTTCGGCATCTCGCGAGCCTTGAGAGTGTACACGCAACTGAAGCGCGATGTAACGCAACGAGCGTGTTTTAGGGGCGAAAAAGACACCCTACCGTTCGTTCCCAGCCCCAGCAACCACCATAAAATCTCGACAGATGCTGCGCTGCCGAAAGGTGACCCACCCCTATTTTTGGCTTTATTTGCTGTTTTCTTTTAAACACCGAAAGATAGCCCACTCCTAGTAATCCTAGTGTTCAGGTCAATGATGACCTCGGCGTAAATGCGTCTAGTTCGCTACGCCGGGATATAAGCGAACGTTGGTGACTGGGAAGTACAGTCATCTTCCCTTTGTTGCCCCTCGCCATGATGACGCATTTGAGAGAGACACGTGATCTAAAAATAGCACTTTTTTCAACTTTTCTCGACTGCACATCGAAGGTTAGCCCACTCCTTATTTTCACCCAATTTTCGCTCGATTTGAGGTGGGCACTCTCTCGGTAGATTAGGTTATGCAGTTTTCACACAATTTTGTAGCACATGTCATGTCTGCGATGGGGGATATGCCTCCACTTATCACATTCAGCAGCTGTGTGAGCAGAGTTGGTGCATCGTGTAACATGATCCTGCAGCTGCTACAGCCTATTTTTTGCACTGTGGAACATGATGTAAACACTGCTACACCTTGACTCCCCATAGCTGCACTTGAGCTTAATTTGGTGTACACTCAAACAGGCATACACTTACACGAATGCTCAATCTTTTTTTCTTTTTCTTGCCTCAAAAAGATTTGCAATAATTCATCAGGTGCTCTAATCAAGTAGGCTGAATGAATTAATGTAAATGGCCGCAGGGTAGAACCGTAACTGCAGCAAAGTACAGTCACCGCGTCCCAAGGGGCATACACAGATGAGCGTGCTCAGGATGCTTGTTCCTAGGTAATGCAATATTACAACATGCAATCTAGGGAAAAACCGAGTGCTCCCCTAGATTAACATGTTGCATGACCGTCGCACTGCACTACCCCAAAACAGTTTCGAAGACACCACGCTCCAATTTTCCACCTAGCAACTTTCCACTCTTGTGTCCGACGGCCTGTGGCAAGCCGCACATGCCTCCAGCTTCTCTGGCTGCTAACAAAAACTGGCTAAGATAAAATCCTACTCTGTGCAACTCATCAATCTAAACGAACCAATGAGAGACTGTGACAACACGCTCTCTGCAACATCTGACACAGCCTTGCTGGACCGTAAAGCTTGACAACTGCCAAGCTGCGGCTCGACAGTTGCAAGCTACAACAGTCAATGAGAGTGAATGCATGCACAGGAAGCCTTACTCAGAGCTTTGACACATTGGACACAGTTGTGAAACTACCCAGCACAGTGGCTCACAGCCTATTTCTGGTTTGCTTCATTCACTAGTGTGCACTAGCTGATCAAGGCCTCCCAAAACCCACAAGAGGCCCTACAAATGTCTGAAATGTACAGTGAAGTGAAGAGCATCAAAAAGAGTAAGATGCATGCATGAGAACCACCACAGAGTGCCACGACTTGCAATGAAAGCACACATGATCCAGTCCACCTACACATGTAAAAAAAAATAACAGAAAACATAGCGACTGGCAGCACAACACTAGAGATGGTACTAATTCACATCCTAGGGTTTAACACAGGTGCTTTTCAAGGCAATATGTGTCTGAATGTCAGCTGAACTTACCCAACAAGAGGGAGCTCATAAAACATCTCTCAAACTTCAGGCGGGTTCTCGAAGTCATGAAAGTATATCCTGGTGTTGAATCACATTAGCAGCATCAGGAACAGGCCATAAGGGGCAAGAAGGCTCTTCTCAAAGAATCCGGGCAGTTCAGATGGCCACTCCCGTCATGGCCATGAGGCAATAATTACCATTTTGCTGTTCTGAGCTAGAAGTCAATACCTGAAAGCTATTTCCAGCCCCACGACGGGACTTAGCACGCAGATACACAGCTAGTTTTACTTGCATGAGTGCACTGTTTTCTGGCCCCAAGTTGCTTTTATAATTGATACTTCCTACTTTTTTTAAGGTAATTCTAACACAAATTGACCAATCTCTTCAGGAAACATATTTATCGGCAGCGTTTAGGCAGGCTGACGAAACAATGAGGCACAAAAATGACTTCTTTTTCATTGCCTTTGTGCAGGGCACACGCATATCAGAGTGTGAGCTCACCGGCTTGCTGCTGCCGCCTGTCCGAGGCCTGCTTGAGCGGTAGACAGACCGGGTAGTCATTGCGGGTGCAGTTTTCCCAGTGCGAGATGACCTGCCGAGAGGAGGCACAGTGGGGCAGCGGACACGCCTTGCCCGCCTGGCAGTTGGTCATGTGGTTCAGCACATTCTTCATCGTCTGACAGTGAGGAAGGGGGCACTGGTGCACCTGCAGCATATGCAAAACGCAAAGGGAGCACAAATTTCCTTCACACATCTGCACTGCGCCAACAACCACCGCAGTGGCGACGGGTCTCGGCAGTGTCCTCACACATGGCTACCTTCCACAGGCGTACAAAAATAAGGCACTCTCCCTACATAGACACGGTTGAACCCTTTTCTTGCCCAGCCTAGCTATGAAGCAATGCATGTGTAATTTTTTCTTTCTTTTTTAAGGCACACCTGATATGCACGAATGTAATTAGAACTGGGCAAAAACACATCTTCCCCTAAAGATATAACAAACAAGATTGATGCTGACATCTTCACACTTTTAATAGATGGGAAAAAATACAGCAGTCCCAGGTGACAGGTGACTTGGCCACAAGCGAGAAGTGACCCGGCCTCAACTGACGGGTGAGCCAACCCAAACTTACGAGAAACCCGACCCAATTCCAAGGGCACAGCCAAGGCTTGAGCTGCAGCCAAGGCTCGCAGCTTTCCCAGAATTCGTAAAAAGCACACACACCTCGAACATGCCAGACTCATGTTTGTAAACCAAAAAGGTCAAGCATCAATACAAAAAAGAAACAGCCCCCTCACCTCTCCACTGGTTGCCTGCGATTCCTGCCGCTGACACTTGTGTGCATGGAGTAAGAGCACGAGCTGCTGCTGAATCAGCTTATTGCACTTCTCTGGGTCGGTCATCGAGGGTGTCACTGCACCAAGAAGAGGAGCTACCCCTGCCTTGGGCGACGGGTGGCCTGGCCCTTTCTGCTGGGGTGGAGCAGGAGGTCCACCCATAGGTGGCGTCTCTTGAGGCCCTGGGAGCTCGCCTGGGAGTGGGAGCAGAGAGTGGAACCGAAAGAAAAAGCGAGCTGTACTACTTAGGAGAGCCGCGGTGTCGCAAATAGGCAAGTCGCCCGTACCATGAAGGCCTCGGCACCGCGTCTAATGATGGTGCTATGGTATTGTACAGTGTTGACTATGTTTAATGGAGCTTGTGGGAAAGGGTGGCGGGATGATGTTACAGGCGATGAAAGCCCAGTGCTGTTTAGTCAGCTGCTCGTCTGGGTCGGTCTTCTGCCCAGCTGGTCTAACGATTGGCTGAACCCAAAATAGTGTCCGGACAATAGACAGTTTGCAAAAATCCCAAAAGCCCCCGCACCCTGCGCAACGAATAATGGGAGTCCTCGGTACGCCCCTCCCAACGTCTCTCCTCCCACTACCAGATGGCATATGCGAGCAGCCCCAGGTTACCACGGCAACAATGTTTGAGCAGCCGAGACGGAAAAGCGATGAGCCAACGGCTGCCCCTATTTCATCCTTCTCCTTTGTACCGGCTCTGTCGTCTGCTGCACCAACGCTTTGTCGAACGTGCCGAAACCTGCCACGGTTGCGGTGCAAAATAAGGGGATTAGGTGACACTTCAATACGTGAAGGTAAGTTTCGGCGAATAACGTATTCAAATAAGTTCCCCTGTCGCGATGCGTTTACGCTGCCACAGATGCGGTACACTGCCAACAACGTACGACTCAGCGGATGAGCGGGATTACGGATAGCTGCAACGGCTGCTGGGACGCGCGCGAATGCAACGAGAAAGCGTGTGATCTGTACCGAGGGTCCCAAAATTTCCTGCCGTCGTGGTGCTGTACGTTTTGCAGGTCTATTGCCCTCCAGGGCGGGTGTCCAGTGGCTTCACCGTGCGTTGAGGCTAGCGGTGCTAAAGATGGTCAGACATACGTGACGGTGAAATGTGGAGTACAAGCCTGTCCCGAGCATCTCACCGACGGAGTAGCCGTGCTGGGCGTGCGAGACCCTAGAGTTCTCAGCCTCCTCGTGGTTAAAAACAAAACTAAGCATGCCAAGCATAGTAATATAGAAAAGTGCCACGAACAAATTTCGCCTATGCGAACAGAAAGTAATTGACATATTCATTTAGATTTCTTCCACTCGCAGCACTCATTTCGCAACTATGCGCGCACGTTCCCACGAAAACGGGACGTGAGAAGGCTTCACTGTGAAAAAAAATGACTAGACGGCAGTCGCGTCATTTTAGTAGCGCACCAGTCACCTAGCTGTGTTTGTAGATTTGTCTTTGTCCGTCTTGTTCCCCTTCTCCCGGGATTATTATATTACGGCAGAAATGCCCAATCACACTGGCGGTTGAACCACATTCGCGAAGCGGTTGCGAACGCGGTTGCTAGAAAATTCAGTGCAGTTTCACGTGCATTTGATGATGAAACCGAGCGGATCCGCTTCGCGGTTAGGGGACTGTACCGGCAAAACCGGGGCGACTCACCAACGCTATCCGACGAGAGGCCTGTTTCTGAAAATTGCCGCTTCGTCGAGGGCCCGTTGACAAGACGGTGAGTCATGTTGATATGCCACTGTCGCCCAACCGGCCCAACCAAACGTTGTTGTAGCAGTTGTAGTTTGAGCGCGATTCTGGCGTCCCGTCGATGCCGTCGTCTGCTCAGCAGCTCCCGCCCACTGTGCTCCAACGGCTCCAATTCCTCCTCCAGATGCCTGTCTGTTGGCTCGGGGTAGCTCGGGCTCGCCTTTGAGTTGTCGACAAACGCCACGCGATGGCGCCCGCTACCGACACTGCAATCGACTGCAGTGTTGTAGTGGTTGTAGTTTCCACTTTTCAGATAGAGATCATACCAGATCATACTTTCCACGCTTTCCACGGAAGTCGTCGACGTCGCGTGGTGGTGTTCAGAGTCGTACCAGTCGTACGTCGTGCATACCTTCCTGTCCACGTATTTCTTCGAGAAGCACAACCGTGTTTAGGATCCGAGTTACTCCAGCGGGTCGTGTCACGTTATGTTTTCGAATGCCAAGGTACAAAGAGTAAGAACGAGAAAATTTTGGAACAGAGCCAACACAGCGACACAGCCACACCGGCCACACATCCTCGGAACTCAAGTGCCGCCGTCGATTCAGTGCACACAGCTTGGGTTCGCGTTTCGCTGCTTTTCCATTTTCGTTCTCTCACAGCTATACGCTTACACTGGGTTTTTTGGAACCGTACAAAGAAGCACAATCGCTACATCGGCGTGCACTCGCTCGAGCTACCGAAGTGGCACGGGTTCTTTTTCGGGCGGTCGTTCAATTCGGGTTGCTGCGTTTTTGAACCGCCGCAGAGACCTCCGTGGCTCTGTGGCTCTGTCGCTCTGTATCCACGGCGTCCACGGCTGCGAACCGAGCCGCGTACCGGATGTAACCAAATGCGAGGCCAACGAGGTAGTGAGGCGCACACGTCACTTCCAAAGCGCCGCTGATTGGCTCAGCCACCGGGCGACTCGGCGGCGACTGCTCCCAACCTGTCGCTTTCGTGGCAAAGGTTTTCGCGCGACAGATAACTCTGCGCAGCGCAAGTTCGTCTGCTTCTTGCACACGGTTTGCGATATGTCAGAACGGCAAAATCTTACTGGCTGATTGAAAAAAAAAATAGTGGGTAGATAAGGCATGTGGCATTCAGGTATACCCACTATCCTTTCAGACAAAGCCAATCAGAGCTAGGCATCGTTCTGACGTCACCGCAACTCCTACGCAAGAAGCAGACTACTTACTTGCAGTGAATGGTTAATTTTTCTTGTTATGAATATTTGTTTTATATTTCACCGAGTTTATCTTCTACGGATAAACTCGGTGGATTTAATGCATTATCCTGAATGCATTAAATTAACTTGTGTTTTCGTATCTTGAATCCAATCCACTCGGCAAAAAAGAAATAGCTTCTCAATAAAATGCCGCAGGAGCATATGTCCACGAAAGGTGTCAATAAAATGTGTGTCCATGAAACATGTTTTCTACGAAACTTTTTTGACAAAACGATACGGACCCACAAATATATAAATGTGCGCCATCCTCTCCGAGACGGAGGGGAGACAGAAAGACAAAAAGGGCATGCACAGACCAGCTCTTGCCCGTCTCGGCAATTTATTTCATAACTTCCAACTCAAGGGACACCATTGAGACATTTTAGAGCGCAGCTCTTAGGCGCCCATTTCCGGCTTGAGCGGCGTCGCCGTCACCGTCGGCGTTGGCATAACCGCACAATGCATTATGGGTAAATTTCCCCGCTAAATCTAGCGGAAAAAGTTTCCCCGTTAAATCTAACAGAAAAATTTCCCCGCTAAATTTAGCGGAAAAATTTCCTTGCTAAACTTAGCGGAAAAATTTCCCCGCTATATCTAGTGGAAAAAATTTCCCCGCTACATCTAGCGGAAAAATTTACCCGCTAAATCTAGCGGAAAAATTTACCCGCTAAACCTAGCGGAAAAATTTCCCCGTTAAATTTAGCGGAAAATGTTCCCCTAAATGGGAGCCGAGCAGGAGAGGAGGGGCATAGCCTCCTCTCTGTACCTTCCCCTCCTCCTCCTCAAGAGCTGTGCTCTAATTCGGCGTCACAGGGCGTTGTAAACAGCTTTCATTTTTTTCAAGACCATATATCTCTAGCAACATTTAGCGGTTGCCATTTTTCGGGCACGAAGCTTGCGAAGGGTGAAAAGGCCGCGCCCAAGAAGAGCCGTTGCGGAAAGAAGGCCGCTCCTCTCCACTTCAGCTTTCCTAGTTTCCGCCCCCTTCTCCCTCACACTGTCTTTCTTAGGTTGTATCTGACTATAGATGACACACATTTTTGAAAAATGTCCAACTTTGCCACGCAGTGGATAAGAAACATACAGGGTGCTTTTTTTTAAACTTTACAGATTTGTTTTAAAACAGCCGTGAAAGCTACACTTACGCGGTTTGTGCAGGTGGGTTATATGGCCAGGGGGACATACTAGAGAGGGCTATTCCTAACGATCAGTCGGGTAATTAAGTATAATTTAGTAATTGACGTTTTGATTAGTGAAAATAGGCATATGGTTTCAATTAGAAACTTGCTAAGAATCATCGAAAACCACTAAATCATCTCTTTTTAGGAAGATATAAGACAGGGACAGCATTTTACGGCGTTCTGAAGTAACCTTTGAACTGGACATGTTTCTAAGTTTCGGTTTGTTATCGGAGCACATCTTTGCGCCCGCGGTCCTGCTCCACGGTGGTCGTGGTGCGAAGCCACCCCCTCGCCTCCCTCGTAAGAAGGAGGGAAGTAGGGCGCACGTGCGCGTCTCAATCGCAGGGGAGCAGGACCGCGGGTGCAAAGATGCGCTCCAATAAGAAACCAAAACCTAGAAACGCGTCTAAATGGAGCGTTTTTACGAAATGACATAGTGATTTTTGATAAATTAACAAATTTTACTTAATTAGCCGACTGATCGTTATTATTAGCACCCCTATACTATGTCCCCCTGGCCGTTTAACTCAAATGCACAAACCGCATAAGTGTAGCTTTCACGGTATTTTTTAGAGAAATCTATAAACTTTAAGAAAAAGAACATATATGTATATATGTTACATGCTGCTTGTGGCATGTAAGCAATGGGTCAAATTAGCAAAATTAATATCAGTGTGGGAGCAGCCCTCATGGTAAAACAATCACTTTAAAGTTGTGCTCACGCTTACGAAGCGACACGTTACAATCTGGCCTCATCTCAAAATGTGAATTTCCTTAACAAATCCAAAACACGAAAATAAAAAAAACAAAAAAAAAACCTAAAAAATTTTATCTTTTCAAGTGAATGGCTGTGTTGGTCAACCTTGTACCAGAATGGTGTCCTCTACACTCGACATGACACAAAGAGAAGCAGGCCCTCGTGTTGACGAGTACCATCTTTGGAAGACCAACTGCCGAATCAATCCCTAGGGAAGACCAACGTGTCCACTTCCTTTGCTGGGAAATATCTGTGCCGGGGCGCTCTAGTCTGTTGCATGGGAAAGAAAAGCATTGACAAGACCCTCCCACAAAGCTCTCTGCTTGCCATGATTAGTTGTTTCCTCCTCTCCAGCATTTGCTCTGCTGTAGGGGAGCGTGGAAGGCTTTGTGGGAGGTGCATGTCCTGCTCTTAATGGAGCAGTAGTAAAACCTGTCTGGCACAACTGGAAAATTATTACTGTAGTCATCTAACCATAGACAACTCTGTTCCCCGAAAATATTGTTCATAATGTGAGTTGTCCATAATAATGATATATACTCTGTTCATAACCCCCAAAATTTTCCAGCATTTCATACTTACCATGGTCTCGCTGGGAAGATGTGGCAAAATCGTACCGCTGCTACAGACACTCATGGTACTGATATACAGTCCAAATCGTTACGTTCAGCCCGCTGTAACTTAAGAGCTGGAGGAGAGACTGCCTTTATATTCCCAGAGAAATGGCATCCCCATGTCACCCAGTGCAATAGACCATTTGCTGTATTACCCAAGCATCAAGGAGATTGCAGGGATTGCTGTTCCACGCGCCGCTCATGCTGGCATCTGCAGCACTAACTGTTCTAAAGCAAAAGCCCAAAACAAATGGCATGTTGCACGTGCGCTCGTCAGCGCTTTATTTTGGTTATTTACTTCAAATATTTTATACGGAGAAGGCGTGTGCGTGTATCACCAATCTCTGCATTCTCCTTGATGCTTGGGTAATATAGCAGATGGTCTATTACACACACACCTTTTCTGCCATTACGAAAAAAGGTTGTCACAGAAAGTGCGTGGAACCATGTTTTGAACAATAGAACATGTTGGTGACTGGAATATGGAAACGAGTGGGACATACAAGAAGGTACAGACGACATAGGCTGAATCATCGTCTGTCGTGTGTGTCGTCTTCGTGTCATCTGTACCGTCTTGCATGTCCCTTTTTTGTTTTCGTGCTCCGATCATATGTCGTCGCCCATTTTCTAATATCGCAGCCCATAAAAACAATGCTCTGTCTAATGCTCAATGCATTTCAGGTCACATTATGCGGAGCTTTCTTTGCAGCGACAGATGTTATGGTCTCTTCCCCCCACTTGAAATGATGTAGCTATGGTTGTAGGGCGCATTTGTCGTCAATATGCTCGAGAAAAAAAAAGAAAATTGCGGTGGCTTAGCTCGGCGCACAAAATGAGAGGTGCATCAAGCAGCTCCGGTGCAGCGTCAGGCTTGGCTACTGCGCAATGGAGGCGCACAGCTGGGCACGCGGCGGCACCAGTGCGTCTGCCGCGGCTATGATGTCACTCCTCTGGAATGCGCAGACCGGCGAGGCGCATGTGGCGGCGGCGGCTCCGGCGCACCAGCTGTGCGCCGTGTGACATCACTGCTCCTCGCGTATGCGCAGCACGGAGCACAGCTCGGAATGCAAGCCACACGAAACTGCTCAACCTCGGCCAGTGTAGCTCACGCTACAATAAATCCCAAGCACCCATTGCATATTTTTCTGAGATTTGATCTCGAGTCTGTTTTAATTGTGAAGCAAGCGTGCTACCACAAAGCCACGCCAGGTGATTCAACGCACTGCCAAATAAACGGAAAATGTTGAGGACAGCTGCACGTGCAAGTCTTGTGCAGCATCTCTTAGGTGACCACAGCTGCAGTAACCTCACATCACGCCACACGAGTCGACGTACTGTAGATTCCCGCAAGACTGCTTTTTTGTTTTGTGGCCAGACCATTTTCTGCATTTACGTTGCAGCGGGGCATATTAATGAATTTGTTTTCACAAATTTACTTTACTGAGGGTAGATTTTGCTTTGTCACTTGTGTCCACACATACACCGGAAAATGAATCTTGCTCATTTACTGTGGTCAGAAACCCATCCAATATGCTCCAAGTAAAGTACAACTAATGGAGGTACAAACGAATAAATAATTTATTTAGGCATTTTCCTATGAACATACAAAAACAGTTATATTATACCTGTGCTGTACATACAACAAAAAAAACACTTGGCAAAGAAATGGGAGTCACAGTATTCTTTTAACAGCCGTCGAGGCCGCAAATAGATATGTACACCTAAAAATTTAAATATCTTTTTTTTCACATAACTTTGAGACCGTCTTTTAAAATTCTTTAAATTGGCAATAAAACAACAAAGAAATAATGTTGACAGAATCTCCCAACATCAACAACTATCGCAACAACGATGCAGTACCAACAAAAGAACAAAAAAAAAAAAAGCCCATCGCAGAAATATTTGATCTTTGCGGTAACCTAAATGAGTAAGTAAACCGTCAAGTTGGCCAAAAAAAAAATCCCATTCAAAAGCCACAAAAAACAAAACAAAATTGTACACTTAAAAACACAACACGCACAACAGAAACACGCAACGTAAACGGACAAAGCACGCACATTGTTCTCAAAGGCCGACAATGACGGAGGGATGATATGCAAACGTGGCGACGCGCGCTCGACTGGAAAAGACGGTCAACGGACAAGACGCAGCAGCGCGCGTAGCATTGCGTACAAAAATGAAAAAATTGTGGTCTATATATATCACATATATGACAAGCACGACACCTGGAATCTCGTTGACTAGAAAAAAAAAAAAGCTCCAAATCGCCTCGGTGGTGCGAGTCGTACAAAACACAACGTCCTCAAGTTTTTTTTCTTTCTATTTTTGTATGGCAAGTATATAAGCAACAACATCGACAAACCTCTCTTAGCCACCGGTGTTCGGGATAATTGGCACTTGGAAAATACTGCATACGCCCGGATTCGAGGGACTCCGCCTAGGTGCGGGTGGCGCACGTCCCGATGCGAAACCGGGGCGGGCAATAGACCCGCGGACAAATCCGCCCAGGCGTCAAAACGTCCGCGTCGTGGCCCTCGGACGAACCAGGCTACGTCGGGAGGAGCTTCACTGCGTACATTCGGTGCATTGCAAAAAGGCGGACCACTTTTGAGGACGCCGGAAACGCACTGATCGGAGACGCGATCCGGGCATTGGGGCGTAACCGCGACGGGCGTGCGACGGCATAGACGCACATCGAGCACGACACCGGTAATGTGCTGATTGCCAGAGGCGGGCGGGAGAAAAGAAGGTGTCGATACGCGAAAGCGGGCTTGTTAAGAAAAGCACCTCTGTTTTTTTGTTTGATTGTGCATCCGGAGCGCTCGAAGCGCATCTTGCTCGACCTTCCAAATTGCCGCATGAATGGCGAAGATGCGGAAAAACACGCAGCAGACGGTGCGGCGAAGAGGCGGGCCGACGGACCAGACTTCAAAGAAGCAATTGACTAGAACCGACGCCGGAAAGGGAGGGGGAGTGCTCATACGAGTCAAACTGTTACGGTGCAGACAGAAACGACGTCGAGTTGTCTGGCGTCAAGCCGGCGGAGGCAGTGCTTTTTCTTCTTAAGTCGTTTTCCGACGTGCATGTTTCTCAAAAGGCATGCCTGTTCCCGAGGGTTCGGCGAAGCGGACTTCTGTGGGTCTAGTAAGTCGGGCGGGAATCCTAAGCTAAACTCTGCATCGTTTGGACATGGCTCGAAATCCATACGGCGCTGCGGGCCGGCCAAAAAAAGATTGCAGCGCGGCCCAAAAACCAGGGCATGAAATCTTGATGCCAAGTTTGATAGAACGAAACCATTTTTGTTCAGACAAGCTCCCAAAGTTTAGCTGGGGTCGTCTCTCAACCGAGTTAGGCCACTTTTCGTCTTTAGTCTTGGAGCTTCGTCGGGATGTTTCGAGAATGCACGTCCCACAATCGCTGGGACGGGCTGCTGCACCAGCAAGTAAAAGAAGCGTGGCACGTAACCTGTTAGACACTGTACGCTACATTACGTCCTACAATAACACTCCTTTCGTAAGCTCGTTCTAAAATGACGGTAGGTGCAGCTGAATCAGTTGCTCGTCTCTTTAGCTCTGGAACACCAACAGTTTGAACACAATGGCCACAAAAAAAACCCGACAAATAATTGCGTCAAATTGGCTTGTTGAAAGTATGGCTAAGTAATGTGCTTCGAATGCACTGCAAAAAGAGACTGTTATGCCACTGAAACCTCGTTGGCACGCATACGTGTAGTAACCAAAGGCAGCAAACGAACAAATGTTACAACATTCTTTAAATATCTGACGGCGAGCCCAAGAGCTTCCTGAACACAGTGTTTTGCCTCCTGCTCACACAAACTTGTTGTAGTACAAAGCATTTGGGCAGCGCACAAAATCAAGTGGCACGCTCGAAAACAAGGGCAAAAGCTTCTTGCGCTGAGATAACGTCACAATTGTGCCCAACAACTGAAAATGCCTTCGTTATCGTTAAAAGAAAACTATCACTAGGTTGCAATGGTCAAGCACAAATCTGACGCACACCACAACTGCACATGAAAACAGACGCACTAAGAACTCGACACATGCAACAAACGATCTGTCTAAAACATGCTCGGGCATAAACCTTCTTTAGCTGCCGATAGAAGCTAACCTTTGCATTGCACGCCCGCACGTTACAATCTTCCCCGTTTAAGATGCAAGGACGTGTGGCTCGGCCACATTTCAGACATTGGCAGTCGCCACGGTGACACAAAACCACCGACAGAAAGTTTCTCGATGCATCTCAAGAACCTAAAATCTCTTACAATGAGATTGAACCCCCAATATAAAAACAAAAAAAGTCAGCAACAGCTCGGAATCTCGCGTCTCACACATGCACGCAGACACACAAACAGTCGGTGTTGTTAAAAAAAGATGTTTTTGCATGGACCCGTTCCCCCTCCGGCACAAAACCACGCACAGAATGGACGGGCCACTCCAATCTCCTGCAAGATTCCAGACTTGCACATCCATCACTTTCACAAACATTTTCTTCACCTCAGCAGCAAGGCCGCAATGAGAGAGTTTGACATCTGATGGCCGCAGCAGGTGAGCCCTAGGTCGAAGAAGTGACATTAGAGCGGAACCTCCTCCTCCTCTTTCTCACAACTCGCAGACGTCGACTCCTGCGGTTGTTGTTGCTGTTCTTCCAGTAATTCCTGCGCCGCCGCCGGCGTCTTCTCCTTGTCTTCTGTGACAGCAGTCGCAGGCAGGCTTGTACGGTGCGTCGACGGAAGGATCCTATATAAAACCTTGTCCTTTTTCCTGACCAAAAGGTGCACGTTCATGTTGTCCTTCCCCTTGATGTACATGGAGCCCCGCGGCTCGAACACATACATCTCCTGCAGCACCTGGAGACAGTGTTCAGGAACCTGAATGCGACCCGGAACGCCGTACGAATCCATCCGGCTTGCAATGTTCACCGCGTCGCCCCAGATGTCATAGTAAAGCTTCGTCGTGCCGATGACGCCGGCCGTCACGTCCCCATAGCAGTAGCCAATGCGGATGACGAAGTTGAATTCCAGCAGGTTCTGGTTGAAGTTCTCAATGACCTGCTGCATGGTGAGCGCAAAGTCCATGAGCTCGTACAGGTGGGTGAACGGATGTGGGTTCTCACGGCGCAGCTTGGGGTTCAGCCCGGACGCCGCCATGAAGGTGCTCCCGATGGTCTTGATCTTGGTGACGTTGCGGAAGACGGGCTTCGACAGGAGCTCGTCGAAGTCTCCAACCAGCTCGTTGAGGACGCGGAGGAACTCTTTGCCCCCCTCGTACGACTCGTCGTACATCTCGTGGAAGTTGACGATGCTCGCAAAGATGATACCGGCATCGCGGTGGTTCTCCGAGTACTTGGATGTGTTCTTGAGTTGCTCCGCGACGTGGCGCGGGATGATATTGTGCAGGAGCCAGTCTGCCTGGTTCTTCATCGCCTGGATACGCTGCTCGTCGCGCGCTGCCATCGCGCTCCCGTGGAAGCTGAGCCGGTAGCTGATCTCGAACTCGCGGTTCAGCAGCCACACCAGGACCGTGTTCAGCACGACGTGCAGCACAATCTCGTAGATGGCCGACTGGTTGCAGCTGTACGAGTCCCGGTGGAAGCTGACCCCTGGCAGCTCGACGCCGTGCTCTGAGATGACCATCGGCTGCGTGACGTTGCGCGCGGGGTCCTTGAGCGGGCATGGGCACGCGGGCAGCCCCACGAGGAGAGCGAGCACGACGCCGGCGCACGTGGCGAGCATCGAACGCAGCCAGAAGTTGAGCTGCGTGAAGTTGCTGAAGTGGAGCAGCGAGACGAACACGACGTAGCAGAAGGCGTTGGTCCGCTCGGGCGTCGACAGGACGCCGGCGCACGTGAAGTTGGAGAAGATGGAGCCGATGGGCAGGCTGACCAGGACAAGCCCCACCACGTGCCACGGGTACCACTCCGTGCAGTAGCGGTAGATCTGCGCAAGGCAGTCCGCCACCCAGTGGCCGCGGGTTGCGAGGATCTCACGGATGCACAGCATGAAGATGCACAGATGGGTGCACGTGGCAAACAGGCAAAAGAGCAGCCACGACAGGGGAGTGTCGAAGAGCACGAAGCAGGCAAACATGATGGCGAGGTAGAAGCCCAGTGCCACAAAAATGTCGAAGTAGGTGGTAAAGGACGCCGACGCCATGGTCGGCGCGAGGTCGCGGTGGTGCAGGCGGTGGCGGTAGTTGCGCTCCATCTGCTCGTCGTGGAAGAAGAGCGTCAACGGGTTTACGGGCGGCCGGATGAAGTAGTCCGTAGTGCACGCGTCCTGCTGGATGCAGCGGATCATCTGAAGGTCCGACTGCTTGCGGAGGTGCCGTAGCCGAGAAAGGCTCTCGTTGAGCATCAAGGCAGGGTCTACGAAGATGCTGTAGCCACGCAGACTGGAACCGCTGGAGCGCCCCGTATCAGCGACCGAGGTGTAGCTGGAGCAGTAGCCGCTGGCCCGTTGGGCGTACAGTGGTGTCGGCATGTCCAGGAGCTGCAGAGAAGATGGTTGCAGAGTAAGGGCAAATATCACCCACATACGAGCGGTCAAATGGCTACCCAGCAATCATACCTTCCCGTGCGTTCCTTCAGCCATTCAGACATCTAATCGATACTGAAATGTTTCTGTAAACTCACTGACAGCTCAGATGCATTTGAACTGAAGTAAGACAAGTAGAACTTTGATGCAACTAAACAAAGCCAGTGGATAACCCTGAGATAGAGTCCTTGGATGACATTTATCATCCTACTCCTTTGTAGCTCCCACTGACTCTCAATAGTTCCCAATGACTCTCAGTGGCTCCCAGTGACTCCCAACTCTCAGTGGCTTCCAACTAATGGTATCACTTGAATTCCAGGACTTGTTCTACTAGTGCAGTACAACTGTTGCACGCACGAAATCTTGAAGGTACCCAGCCACAACATATAATGACTCAACTAACCAAAGTTCTGGGATCTAAGCCTGTTAGTGATCACAGATGCTGAATCCCTGCTGAATGAATGAGTGAATGAATGAATGAATGAATGCTTAACATAACTTTAACTGCTGCAGATGCAAATTTTAACTGACGATGCCTCAATGTGCATTTCAGGTAATACGAAGATCGCCCGCTGGGAACTCAAACCCTAAAAACGAATGGGTTGTAAAACAGTTGATTTATGCTTTCATTCACTTGTAACTGCGGTGCGGTACTGCATTTTATGCCTTAAAGGAACCACTGTTTTTAGACCTGGGCCAAATACTAATGCTTAAGAAAGAGGTTAGGTGTAGAGTACCTAAATCTGAAATATGTGCTATCTAGTTTTCTTTTCATTTTGCACCCTACCCTCTGCATCAACAATAAAGAAGAACAGTTGGCACGGCACTTACCCTCTCCACATAGTAAAGACATCTCAAAATTATTTCATGGTTCCTTTAAAGTTGTTAAAGCAATCTACAGTGCATAGCTTCCTACTGTCATCTTGCTCTACATAAATACTTTCCAGTATGTTCACAGATTATACATACACTTAAAGTTAGCATTCAGGAAACTGACACGAGACTTTCAGGTGCTAAGCTAGACTAAAATCGGTGAACAAACACTCCAGACAGTAGAGTGCACATGTGCCAACACGAGAGGGTGCGCAAATAGAGCAGAGCGTGATTGTGACAAACCTAATGGCCAACTGGCCAGGAAGAAGAGGTCAAAGACTCAACAGTACAGTTTGGCTACAGCTAATCTTGCGCTGTAAACGAGCCAGAAAAATCAATGCCTGTACACTGAAAGCTCTTTCACCGAATGTGCATTGAGATGGTGCATTTTAGCCAATTAAATTTTAAGACATAGCTAATAATAATTGGGGTTGTGGGGATATTTGTACAGCGTGTAGTTGGTCAGCCATTAAAGTTGCGACGAGTCACACGCTGTAGATGAGCAATTTAGCCAGTGCAGACATAGCTCCTGTTCTTTTAAATTAAATTTTAAGACATAGCTCCTGTTCTGTACACAATGAGACCAACAAACTTGCCAGGGTTCACGGCCGACGGGTTCACAGACGATCGACTTAGAAATGCCTGTAGCGCATGGTGCCATCTCCCAATAGACCTATTGCTAAATTACCCAAGCATCAAGGAGAACGCAGGGATTGGTGTTCCATATGCGACCGCCCTCCCCGTATAAAAGATTTGAAGTAAATAACCATAATAAAGTGTTGACGAATGTGTGTGCAAGATGCAATTTGTTTTAGGCATTTGCTTTAGAAAAGTTACTCCTGGTGAGGTCAGCACGTGCGGTGCGTGAAACACCAATCCCTGCATTCTCCTTGATGCTTGGGTAATTATTTAGCAATAGGTCTATAGAAGCAGCAAGCAGATGACGCACTGTCGTCTGCTCGCTGCATCTGTTGGGAGATGGCGCCATGCTTTACAAGCATTGCTAGGTCAATCGTCTGCGAACCTGTTCGCCATTGACCCTGGCAAGTTTGTTGGTCTCAATTTGTACAGAAAGAGATTTATGCTTTAAAGTTTTATTATCTAAAATCCACTACCTTAGTGCACATCCGTGAAAGTCTGAGCTTTCAATGAACAGGTATCAATGTTTTTGGGGCCAATTTTACGGCACGATTACCACTGTAGCCACCCTATAAACTAAGTGCTCCTGGCAACTTAATTCACCAACAAAGAGAAGAAGGAAAATTGGGAAATCGAGCATGCCTCTGACACAGCCAAAAATTATTCAGCCAAGTTACAAGCAAGGTTAAGGGTGCCGCGAGTGGTATAGTGCTGCCTTGGTAGGAGGAAACCAAAAATTGCGAATTGAATTCCTGTGAGATAGATGTGAGAGCTTCCGGAGGTGCCTTTGGTGCGTAAAAAACAGGAACTTGCAAGAAGCAAAAATACCTTGATGATGTTCACCTCCCACATGCTGACATATACGGGCACATTGTTATTAAACCGTAGTGCCTTAGCCTGCGGCAGCATCTGGATAAGCAAAGACAAGTGGCGCCATCTTGTAGCGGACACAAGGATCTCTTTAGGGACAGAAACAACGAACAAAAGATGCAGGCGGCATGCCACGTGCAAAAACAAACAGCGAAGTCAGCCTTCAGCAACCCTGGTTATGTATTGAGATGAAAACAGCTTCCAAGGCAAGCTTATTACCGGGTGTTTCTGCGAGTGCCTTCAAAAATCCCAAGAAATGCAGAGTGCAAGTTCGTCTGCTTCTTTTGCAGTGGTTGGAGTGACGTCCGAATGCCGAGCCCTGATTGGCTCTGATTAAAGGATAGTGGGTAGACCTCAAGGCAGCTTGCTTTGAGGTCTACCCACTATCCTTTAATCAAAGCCAACCAAAGCTTGGCATTCTGACATCACTGTAATCCCTACAAAAGAAGCAGACAAACTTGCACTCCGCATAGGGTGGGTGAGAAAAAAATTGACTCTTTTCGAAAAGGGCTTACTATGGTTGATAGAATGCCATTTCGTTGAAGCACGTTTTAGAGAATGGGCACGTTTTATCGAAGCACAGTTTAGAGAAAGCAGAGCCTCAGTTTAGAGAAATGCCGTTTATCAAAAAGGGGACGCTATTTAAAAAAAGGTTTTTCTAGATAGATAGATAGATATTTATTTGTACATTTAAGTACAGGTCGCATAGAAGGCGTTTCCGCCCGTACACACATGTGCCTATGTGGCCAGCTAGACGATGATGGTGATGCGAGGCTTCTTGGCTTGAGAAGTGTGGGACGATGATGATGGGATGGTGAGGAGGGTGAAAAGTGAGGTGGGTGACGTATGATGAGGTATGCAAGACATTCTTGGGTGTTTAGAGGTGTTTGGCTGCTGCCTTGCAGAACTGTGTCACCTCGTCTCTGTCTGTGATGGGCAAGCTGGTGATGGCGTCAGGTAGGGACCTCCAAAGTCTCACAGCCCGGAGGAGACATGAGTTGTCGTGCCGTGTGTACACACGGCACGACACATGAGTGTCGTGCCGTGTGTACTTCGCGCGTGTATCACTGGTGCGCGTGTTAACACAAGCCCCCCCGCTGCGCTCCCGCCGCTTCGCGGCGGCAGTCTGCGGCGGCTCATTACGAAAATTTAAACTCACATGACTTATCCGCACACGCCGCTTTGCGGCGACCTAATTTGCTAAAAAAAGGCTCATCGCAATTTTCTCTAAACTGGGTTTCTCCGTAAAGAAATTAGAAAAACTGGGGTCGGTACAACGGCGTTCGCTAAAACGAGCTTCTCTAAACCGCATGACTCCGTTTCGAAAACACACCTCCAGCCACGGCGGACGTCAAAGACTGCAAGAAACACTAATTAGCAAAATAATTTCCTAACATTTTTTTTTTTTTTTTAGTTTGTAAAAGTAAAAACAACTCGCTAGACATCATTAAAGACCCCATGAATAAGTCAATTCTAAGAAGATTTCCAGCCCGTAGGACGAGTGAGGGTGCACTAAATTTACCAGACGTAGAGCAGGCAGAAGCCTGGCGATGCAAAAACACGTTGATTGGCTTTGTGGCGCAAAGCTATTATGGCCATACTGTGCCAAACTTGTTTGGTTAGAAGGCACATGCTTGGAACTTATTAGTACAAATTACCTAATAAAGAAAAAAGGTTTATGGGACAAGGTTTAAAGTGGTAGAGTTAAATTTAGACTACCAGTAGGACGCTGATTTTTCTTAAATAATTTATGACACAATCAAACGGATTCTCACCAATTAGCAGTGCTGGGTAAAAAGGAATCTGGTGTGAAAAAAACTCTGGGAAATATATTTGTTGTTCTTGCTCAAGCCCTGAGCACAGCCACAAAATAAGTAAAATAGTTAAATGCTCGGCCACACTCGTAACAGAGTGGTGGGGCTTCCCCTCTGAGCAGATGCTTGTGGGTAAGGTAGGACGATCCAATTCTAGGACGCCACAGAAGAACTTCATGGCGGCGGGTTCTGTGGGATGCACTCTCCCACATCCCAAGAGCTGGCTTAATCACATAAAGTTTGTTTTCGCACTCCAGACTCCACGCCAATTGCCATAGTTGGAAAACCGACGATTTTACTAAGGGCTTTATGTCTTGAAATTCTATCTGTGAGGTAGTTGGCACTAGGTGCTTAGAGCTAGTGGCCAATTCATCTGCTCTTTCGTTACCTTGAATCCTCATGTGGCTGGTCAGACAGAAAAATTTTATGTCTCGGCCGAGCCGCAGCCCGTGCTGTACCTTGATCGGACAAGTTGTGCTTGTCTATTTTTAATACCCTTGACTGAGAAAAGTGTGGTGAGTTCACTTTGAGAATCCACGAATAAAACAGATTTCATTGTCTTGCTAGTGAGAATATGCTTTAAGGCCATCAACACCGCATAGAGCTCTTCCGTGTAAATACTTGCAGATTCCTCGAGACGCCGAACCTTACTGAATCCTTCAAAAAAAACTGCTGATCCTACAAAATGCAATGATTTGGCACCATCAGTATGAAATTGCGAGTAGTCATGCACCATAACTCTTCTGCACCTCAAGGAAT